TTAATCGCATTAATAAAAAATCAAATTAATCACAAAATATAACATTAATCACATAAATTAATTAAAAAATAAATATATATTAGAATCTTTGACCACGTCTATCCGCATATGTTATTGAAAAATGCAATATTCAGAATGTCTCTTTCATGCTTTTTCAAACATTTCATGAACATATCCCAAAATCTGCAAACACACGCTTGAGAACATTAACAAAACAACAACAAGATTTTCTAGGTACCCTGCGATGTAGCAAAAAAATAAAGGCCTCGTTATGATATCGGGGTCACTGAAACAACCATTGCTGTTTTTGTTGCCAAAGGCCACTGAAGTTGATCTGACCGAAAACCACGCCTGATACCAGTCATTTCTCAGTGCACGGGCGGATCCAAACAGCTTCGGCTGTTGCAGTTGCAACTGTTACATTTATGGGATATGATTTATGTCATATTTTTGTATTTTCCCCAAATAAGGCTTGATAATCAAGTTCCATATTTCCATAACTTGTAATTTTTTCTATCGGTGAAAGTTTCAGGAATGACAGTTTGATTTCCCAATAGCGATATCACTTGCGAGGACAGAGAGCAAAGCACATGCATTTGTCTTAATGTCTTTCATAAGGTATTTAACATCTGTTCACTGTTCTTTTCAATCGAGGCTGTTTGCATCTATGTTGCTAATGCTATTGTTCAGGAAAGATAGCTTTTCTGAAGCATATTCAAATTCTTATGACGAAAGTAGCAGCCCACACAACGGAAAACATGGATTTGCCTTAATGTCTTTCACAAGGTGTTCAACATCTGTTCACTGTTTTTCATCCCAGGCTATTTGCTTCCATGTTGCTAATGCTAATGTTCAGGAAAGATAGCTCTTTTGATGCAAATTCAAATTCTTATGACGAAAGAAGACGGCCCACACAACAGAGCACATGCATTTGCCTTGATGTCTTTTACAAGGTGTTCAACAACTTTTCACTGTTTTTCACTTCAGGCTATTGTCACCCCTGCATCCATGAAGAAGAAAACCTATCACATTGATTTAATATTTTGCTTATGCTGCTGTTCAGAAAATATAACTCTGTTTTTAGTTGTCAATGTTATCAAACTTGCGCACCTTCTTTTTCTTTTGCAAATCTTTTCTGGATCCGCCCCTGTGCTGAACTTCTAATTTTTCTTTTTCAATTTCATCAAGCATGTTTCAAAATCTTGCTAAACTGGCATGATAGGTTGGCATTTAATTTTTGAAATATTGTTGTTTGATTTAGCTAATGAATTAGTTTACTGTCATGCGTTCAAACAACGTTTATTGCGCATGAAATTATTTGAGAGCATTTTGGAATCTATGATTCAATTTCTAAATAATCACAAATTAATCACAAATTGATCGAAATTGAACACTTTAATAATAATAAAAAAAAAAAATTAATCACACACAAAATTGATTTAATCACAAACCAATCACTAGTGATTATTAAAGGTGGAACTATAGCCTAAACACGATTCCAGCGCTCCGCCATATTTTTTACAATGCGATAAATTATAGGGGGACTGGAAACAATAAAAATCCCTTTGTTCTTGTAACCAATCAACGTCGTGACAGCTTGCCTTTAATCTCGTACACTATTTTCAAGAATGATTTGCCCCTCGACCTCGACACAGGTGGATTGGAGGGGTGGGCGGGACAGGGACTTCGTCGTTATCCTTTCTCGTGTCTGTTGCTAAAGAATGCCGTATTTGTAATTAAAAAAATTAGAAATTTAGAATTTTAATTTAACTTTGATTTAATTGGTTTAGCCAATGGACAAAGGCCGAGTAGAGTTTGTTTACATTTGCAAATGAATAAGGCCCCCTCGTTACTTTTCTCGATAGAATTCACGATGTCAACAGTTACAGAACAGTGTCAAACATTAGTTTGTTCCTTGTTCTAAGATCTTTTACGATATCATAATTCGTCGTGAAACAATTATCTTCAAGAGGAACGGAGCAAAGGATCGATAATGATGAAGGATGCCACTTTGGCCTATGCCGGCTAACAAAGCTTACCTTTTTCCAGTACCTTCCCGAATTCGAATTCTTATCAGGAAAAGTATAAATAGACTCCTTCTTTCATAAAATGTTCGTTTGTGCAGCTTTAGCCTCCAGGTCCTCCTGCATCACAAGATCTTCAGCCGCGTTTTGAACAAGGTTTCAATTTTCCACTAGTGGATGCCATCGCGATATCTCTGCTTGATCATAACGGTGACGTCACAGACGGAAGATTCTTTTGGCACGAAAACTTAGGGGCATCATAACTTTATAACGAGGAACGATACCGAGATTCTGTTTGCAGTTTTGTAATAATCTGATAGTAAATAATTTAGAAAGGGAATAAAATTGTGGTCAAATTTTTTATTGCAGTAGCCCTTTAAATAGGCTGTAAAACTCAGATTTTAGAATAGTTAGCCAAGAACAAAGATTATTATCTCTCTGTAGGGCTAGAATGGGTGTTTTAAAACATATGTTTTGCTATTCTCCATCTTTTGTATTAATATTCCCGAGCTCTCTAGAAATTCACTTTAAACCATCAATTAATGATCCTGCTCTTAGCAGGCCGAGCCACCCTCAAACATTCTAGCCTCGTACCGGATCCAGACGGTTGCGACCGTTCCAGTTGCAACTGACAAATTTTAAGGGAATGATTTATGCAAGGTTCTTGTAATTTTCATAAAAAGTTTGATAATGAATCTCTATATTTCCAGAACATGTAATTTTTTCCATCAGTGTAAATTTCAGAAATGACAGTTTTGTTTTCTAATGGAGATATTCCTTGCGAGGGGCGGAGGCGATCAGCCATTAAAACAGCCTTATTGGAGTTTCCGCGGCTTTTTGCCCATCAACAATTAACCCGAATTCGTAGCCCCATGCGCAGCAAGAATGAAGCCCTAAAGAAAAGCTTAACCGTTGAAAGCCAATCAAATCACGATTTTCATCCTTCACAATTTCTCACGTTTAAGTGATTGTAAATCTGGCATGAAAAGTTTAATTTTTCTTCAGCTTTGGGTCTAGTGCTCCAATATGCTTTCAAAGAATTCATCAATCTCATTCACATAGCTTTCATCAGTCCTTTCTCATTGCTTTACACAATTACTGTTCATATCTGTATTATCTATTTGAATCTCCACCAAGCGGTGTTTTTTCTAGCATCTTAAGCCCTGACAAAACGACTAAACATTTCGCTAAACATTTCACTCAACTTTTGTTTAGTGAAGTTGAGCGAAGTTTAGCGAAGGTTACAAAACGTGACTAAACTTTTCACTAAACTTCTTCCAACTTTTTTGAATAGCGAGCTAGCTACGACGCTTTTCGGTTGTAGGGAATCTTGCATAGGAATTTGCTTTTAGTTTGCACAAACAGTGGATAAAATTAAGAATCGGATGAAGCAACGGGGAAAGAAAAGACTTTTTGGCACATTGACAACAAAGTTGACTGTTGAAGAAGACACAGTGGCGTACAACGAGATATTCAGATGTCTCATAGAGGCTTTTGGGTACGTAGAGACAAGAAAACCAACGAAAATAGACGAAAACCTTTGAATTTCCACAGCTAGAGCGCCTGCGCGATCACAACAAATGTATAATTGGTGGCAAAACGACTAAACATTTGCTAAACAACACTAAACAACGCTAAACATTTTTGACCAGGATCAAACTTTGCTCAACAACACTCAACACGACTAAACAACACTAAACAGGGTGGCAAAACGACTAAATATTTCACTAAACTTTTAACTAAACAAAAGTTGAGTGAAATGTTTAGTGAAATGTTTAGTTGTTTTGCCAGGGCTTTACTGTCAGGAAGGACTTGATTTTGTTAGCTTTACACAATCAGTAAGTTCTCCATATATTACGTTTCGCTTTGGGAAAATAAAAAACAATCTCAAATTCTCCTAGTTAAAATGCCTAACCAAATCGAGAGATAAGTTAAAGATGAGGCTTTCGTTAAAGAAGAGGAACTGCTCTTGGACGTCGTTAGAACATTTGCTTCTAATTGTTGATATAAGGCATAACATTGAAGGCTGCTTGCAAAGGAGCGAGGCTCCGGAGTGAAAATCACTTCGGAACGAGTAAAAATGCGAAGCGGAGTACTTCGGATTGACTTCCATTTCACCTCTCCAAAGCAGAATGACTTCCACACCGGCATCGTGAATCTCAGGCCACAATTATTGGCATACGAAGGTTTGGGTATTCACAATTGGCTCCTTTTTTGCTAGCAAAACTTCAAATGTAGATTCATAATCTTCAAATGGTACCCTGAGAGCTCATTCGTGTACCCTGTAAGTGTCATCATTGTGGCCTTTTTTAAACTGTTTTGCCTTATGGATGTTTAGGTAGCCTGTTGTCCAGACAGTGGCGGTTTTAGAAACTGCAGGGCCCGTTTGTGTACCCTGTAAGTGTCATCATTTTGGCCTCTTTAAACTGTTTTGCCTTATGGATGCTTAGGTAGCCCGTGGTCCAGACAGTGGCGGTTTTAGAAACTGCGGGGCCCGGGGCCAAAAACCTCTGCGGAGACCTTGTTCTTTACAATTTCTATCTTTTTTCTTAGGTGTGGGGCCCCTTTTGGCTACCATAAACGCAGGGCCTGGGGTCATGGGCCCCCTGGAGCCCCTTTAAAAAAGCCACTGGCTCCAGACCCCAAACTTGAAAGAAAAGGGTCTATGTAACCTAGAGACAAATCGCGTACGAGCGTTTCCCAGGATCTCTAGGAGAATTAATTATGCAAAGAATTATGAGGCATTAACATGAAAAAAGTGAGCAACAGCGTAAAAAGAGCATTGGTTCTTGTTAATTGTTTTTCGTTTCGAGTTTGTTGTTTAATGCTAGTAGATTAAAGATGTTAAAATACGCCAAAGTAGCATAAAGAAAAGTTGGAGCACACATAATATAAAATCCAAATTTCCTTTGAAACGCAAATTCAAAACTTGCCTTAAAGCAAAAGAACATATTCAAAAACGGAATATCAATCAACTTGCCTTAGCGTGCTTCAATATCGCCTCTCTGGGGTTGGAATCGTCCATTTTAGATAACGCGATTTGTTTGACAACAAAGCCAGACAGACTCATGCCTTCTCTGATTCTCCCTCCAGAGCCTAAGGATAATTGTTGGGACATGAAAAATAAATGAACTAAAACAGAAAAGCAAACATCCAGTGGCGAACACCTGGGGGCAAGGGTGGGGGGAGTGGTCGCCCCCAATATTTTGGAAGACAATGGTCTTTCGTTCCAAAACAATGGGAAATATGACGTCATCTAAAAAAATTGGCTTGCCCCCAATATTTAATCAAGTATCCACCCCTGCAAATATCTATCATTTTCAGTGATTTGATACCATAGTGTCCAAGCGTACTTTTCTGAAAATTCTTTGATATTCGAGTGGAAAAGATTGCATCTCTGGAAGCTACGTAAAAGTCAGCTTTACTGAAAAGTCTACTCCACCTTTAATGCGTATTGACAAAAATGGAAATAATGATCAAAATCTTGATACCATTAAAGAAAAGCTGTGTCCTGAATATGACATCTTCATTATTAATCAACCTGATGACATTACGTTGATGACATGGTTTTCAGTATATTTTGGAATTATTCGGTACAAATCCTCCGCAGCACCATGCTCTCGTGATCCCTGTCTTAATGCACTAACATGACATAAATGAGATAAATTGACAGAAACAAACCTGGTCCAGTAACGGGTGGGTCTGGCTTTTTTGACAAGGTCGTATCTCCCCTCATCTCCTGCTTTACTTTCTTCATGCTTTTTGCTCGTTTTTCTCGGAACATTGGCAATGCATGGGCTGTTGACGAAATTGACACGTCTTGAATATCTGCATGTCTCCTGTTAGTTTGTGTAACATACAATCTTCGTGTACAAAATGTCAAAGTCACAAAAGATCTTTGCGAAAATACTGTTCTTGAAACAGATAACTTTGACCAATATTTGTGAGGTAAAAAATTTCGTTATAAACAATTCTTTCCCGTTAATTTTGAAACCTTCAAAAATTTGAAATACGTAAATGTGATGTCATCATCCTGCCACTATATAAGTCAAGTTAAATCCATTTTAGCTTGATGCACATGTTTTCACGATTACCTCTGAGAATGGCCGAATGTCAAAAAATGACTGTCGTTTCACTAAGATATATCATTGAGAACGAAAAGGCAAAATATCCTCAGGAAAGTCGCAGTAGGCAATTGACGCATTTTTGAACTACATATTTCGGCAATCATTACATTTCTTGTTTCTGACAACCAAACTCTGTATGAAGCAGAACAAATAGCGGCCTATGTCTGCGAGAAAGACAAACCGGTCTATGTCTGCAAAATTTCAGCGGAAAAATTTCAGCAGTTAAAACTATTGAAGCTTTTAAAATTTAATTAAAATTATTATTTCTCAAAAGGTTTCTAGGCCGAAATGGCCCAAAACCAAAAGTATTGGCTGTAGTTTACATTATTGATTACAAAATACATATAGTTGCCATTGCAAAAAATATAAGGACAAATAAAATCAGACGAGAGGTAGTACCACATTCTATAAACGATCAATTTTAACTAACCATATAAGGAGTCAATAAATAGGTATAGTTAACTTGGAAGAAAATAGTATGGGAGGTCAATTATGACTGAAAGATGTATGTATATACGCTCTGGATCGACTACGGTATATATATGTATATACGTGCATAGAACCGGACAGCTCTAAGATTCACTGAAAGATTTACATTTGTATACATACGAGTTATGATTTGGCTCTTGATCATTTGTTCCCCAGGATCGATCCGCTTCTTTTTTACTTTGCCAACACATAGCGTCGCTCCACTGTCAGAAAAGAAATTTAGATTCTCTTAGCATGAAAATCTTCGCATCGATTTGCTAATGTTGGATATACAGACAGGTGACATAAGTGCTTATGTGAAATAGCGGTATGGCTAGGAGCAAAGGAAGATGAGTCCCCACCAAGATATCAGCATAATTAAATCTTACTGTAAAGACTACAATCCCGGACAAAAATGTTGAGACAAAATGCAATTTTTGTAATTGTCTACTTTAACTTGTCCCTGTAAATTCGAATCTCACCTTTCCCCCTGAAGCAATGTTGGATTTGTAGTTTTATCATTTCTCCTCGAAATCATGCATTCAATATTGAATTGGGGGAGGGGGGAAAGATATTTTTGAAAGGAAAGTGAAAATATAAGCTCTTCTTGAAAAGTCTCAACCATTTTTGTCCGGGATTGTAGATGTCCCACAATTCAACCCTTTTACTTCAACACAAATATGGTCATATATTATACTGATGTAGAGGTATGCTGGAAACGTCGTACTAACACTTTGGGCTGGCCTTCACTTGATCTTAGCCCAAAGAAAAAACCGTAGGGGTCTTCACTTGATTTGATAGCATTACACGACAGATGGAAGGCAGTTCTGAGCCTGGGTTTAAATTGCCTTTTCCGTCAATGCCTCGCCGGAATCGCATTAATAAGGCGACTAAAGTGAAATGAACGCAGGTTGGAATATATCATAGAAACATCCTCTTGGCAAGCAGAACCAAAAAACTGTTAATGAAAAAGTGTAGTAAGGAAATCTTTAAATTTGTAACAAAAATATTATCCTTGTCAAAAGTTAACCCATGGAGTCGAATATTATCGCATCTTAGATGCATAAAAATTTATTGTATAAAATTTGTCAGACAGTTAAACTTTACTGAAGAGATGACCCTGAATAAAATGAGGGATTTCCCGAAAGTATTGTATAGTATTCTTTTCATAGCATACTAATTACTATGATTTCATTAATGAGTGGTAACCCCAAAAGAGCCAAAAATATTATATTGCAACACGTAAATGTTCTTTCCCCAAAAACATCAATATTTTCAGGCGTAGGACCCAAAAATTATCGTTTAAGAATCTGACTGGATATATCGGATTACACTCAGATTTTTAACTGTAACAAATCAATGTTGAAATAAAGCAACGTTATTACAGGAAAAGAATTGTAGGTTTCTGGAACAGACCACCCTCCAGAGCACAAATATATCAGTCTGTGATACTCGACTACACGTTCTGTTGCAAAGACTTACTTTCTGCTCTTTTCTGGATCAAAGCAAACTTTTATGTTACCATTTGAACAACCTGCAAAGATTTGATTCAGCTTTGGATGCCACAGACAGCTAACAGCACTCTAAATAAATCCAAAACATATTTAGATCTCATGGTTATTGCAAATATTGACATAAATCAATTATAGCCCGTACTCATATTAACCTTGGTAAGAAAGATGCTGATTGAGATTGTTTTTCTAATGATATGTTATTCATAATTACATGTTTATTAATCGCTTCCTTTATCAATCTTTTTACATTGGCATTTTACATTACATTTTTACATTTAACTATTGCCGGTTTATATCTCCAAAGTCCAAATACGGGAAAAATAAGAAGTGGATTTTAAAAAAAGTGCCAAATTTGTTTACACAGTTTTGCGAAACAGAAAAGGCTAGAAACATGTGATCACTCTTTCCTGCAACTTGGCATATTACCGAACTATTCAAATACCGAACTATTCAAATACCGAACTACACAAATACCGATCTATACAAATACCGATCTATACAAATCCCGAACTATACAAATACCGAACTATACAGACATCGAACTATACAAAAACGAACGACACAAATACTGAACTATACAAATACCGAGCTATACACATACCGAACTATACAGACATCGAACTATACAAAAACGAACGAGACACCGAGCTATACAAATAACGAACGACAGAAATACCGAACTTACAAATACCGATCCATGCAAATACCAAACTATACAAATACCGAATTACACAAATAGCGAAATAAACAAATACCGAGCTATACAGATAAATATCCAGTGAAATGACAGCCCCCTTTTCGGGTTCTTCAAATTTCAAAATGAACAAATAGGTACAAATAGGCAGAACAAACAGTGAACATAATAGCGCTCATTAGAATCTTTAAACAAGAAACTCCAAATTAATTTAAGTATATCTAGCTGTCAAAAAAACTTACTGCGTTTCCAACAGAAATTTCTCTTAGTATCCCGAGATTTGTCCGATCAAAAATTACTAGCTTTCCATCGCCCTAAAAGAAAAATGGTCAGGAATAAGAACCAACAGTGAAAACAACAACAAGGACAACAATAGCAGGATTATTGGGAAGCTGTTTGCTACAGTCCGTCAACACAAAGCAGCGTAGTATTCATCGAGGGAGTCACTATTTAAGAAGGAACAGTATTGTACAGTATTCTTTGCCACTGCGATCCTTTCTTACATTTCCAATGTAGATGGTGAAATATCTAATTTGTTTCAAGGCATTTGATGCATGACTTTGAAAGGAAAATACCGAACCCGAATATTGGACACAGCAAATATTTTACATCAGGCAAACAGATTTGCCATAAAGGGAGAGGGAAAGTTAGGTCTACAAGAAAGGAAAAGCTTTCATAAATTCAGTCGATGCTCTTACTCAATTATTTCGCTAGTTCAGCTTCACAGTATTACCCATAATTCCTGTCTAATGATGTACCGTATGATTGTTCGTCTAGTGTCTAATGATTGTTCGATTATAAGACGCGGTTGAAAATTATTTTTTGGCAAGTTTTGTTGTTGCAATTTATAATCAAGGGATGCTTATAAACGAGGGAAGCATATATTATTTTATCCAGATCCTGCCAAACTTTCTTGCTACTTTGAAGCTCGGGATGATAATATAGAAGATGCAGAAGAAATACTTTTGGCCGTTTTGGATGATGCCATGCTGGACAATATTGTTTCTGTTGATAGAAATTCTCATGTCTATTTGTAAGTTTATTATACACAATCAGGTTTTTATCAGTCCTCTGCGTCTTTCATTTCAAATCAAGTATCTCTGTATGGTTTTGTTTGTGCAGCTTATAATCAAGGGCGGCTGAAATTATTCATGAACCTAATTTACTGCAGGTAATAATCGATGGCTAATTTACTGCAGGAAGCGGTGGCTTCCAGTGCACGACTATGTGGCGAACCTTGGAGACGATATGTGTGCTGCGCTACCATTCTGGTATGCATTTACTGGATGTGATACCGTGTCTTCATTCTATGGTCGGGGAAAGAAGATGTGTTGGGATGTTTGGAAATCACATCCTTCTATAACGGAAACTTTCAAAAGGTAAGGTTTCATACTTCTGCTTTTATATTCTGGATTGTAGAATCGTTTAGGTTGCAACCTAACGAGAATATGCGTCAGGAGTCCTGAATCAATGTCACGAGAAACAGTGCAAAATTAAAAGCTTTTTCCATATTGCCAAAGCATGAATAAATTGTCTTTCAGGCTATCTAATAGCAACACAAGGAACCTAACCAATGAGGATATCCAGTCCCTTGAGACATATGTCGTCATGATATATGATCGATTAAGCACGTTGCAGAGTGTGAATGAATGCCGTAAAACGGCTCGCAATATAGAATCCTTACCACCTACCAGAGATGCCTTAATTCAGCATTCTAGAAGAGCGTTACTGCAAGGAGGGTAGGTTGCTAATTTAATCAAAATATGTCAAGTGTCTTGAGCAGGTTGCCAAATATTTTCAAAAACACCTCAAGCTTTGCAGCACAGCAACTGCTTAGCATGGTTAAGTTCCTCCGTATTTAACTGAGCCTACAGTTAAATACGGAGGACTTACAGCGAAAGTACTTTACCATCCATGAAATTTATCAGGGAAATAATTTTACCTTTTTATTTCTCAACTCTTTCAGAATCATATGGGGACAGTCACTGGAAAGATGTCAGGATATACCTGATGCATGCGATTTTGGGTGGAAACAAGAGCAAGGATTAATTTCCCCAAAGTGGACCCTTCTTCCTGGTGTCACATTTTGGACAATTCATGTAATAACATCCCACACTAGGAGGGCGGCTTATAAACAAGGCAGGCCTATAATCGAATAAATACGATTCTGGGAGCTACCTTTTCTCTAATTAATGCGATCAACCAAAAATTGAAAGAGGAACTTTCTCTCACACATATTCAGTTTTCTGTATTTGCTCAAATGGAAAAGGTGTCCCACACATCCATCAGATCTTTTCTAAATTGCTGATTACAGTAGCTTGCAATGTAATATCAAAAACATTAACGACACGATTACATTATCTAGTTTTCCTAACATTTGACCAATTATTAAACAGCCTCCCACTAGCACTCATTTAACAGAGGCAGCGTCATAGCAACTCGGATGGCAGTATTTTGTAAAGATTCTTTGCAAATAGAAATAAAACTGAAAGCAAACCTGGTTCTTTTTTACTGACGTCCCAGCTATAACCATTCTATCGTCAGGACTATATGTACATTTAGAACTGTAATGAAAAATAAATTAAACTGATTTTATTAAGAGATTTACAAGAAATAAACAAATCAATAAATAGATAGACAATTTCAAAGTGAATAACATTCTCATAAATAACTTGCATTAGCATCACGAATTTTCACAATAAAAAGCTGGTTGTTTATTTTGATCTACTCAAATTCTCAAAGTTGAAATCAATCTCAGCCAAAATAATAATTTTATTTCCTGTATTTCAAATTAAATAACATAAGGTTTCTCAATAGCGTGAAGAAGGGGGAAAGGCGCGGGGAGGGGGTGGAAGGCGCGGGGATTAACATTCCTTGAAACAAGTTTGTTCAACAGAATTTTGCAGAAAACATTTTTTATGTCACAAAACTTCCCACTTTCCTCATTTTCATTCTCCCTTTAGGAAAGTTAACCCATTTATCTAAAAAGCCTCTCCGATAGCAATATTTAGAGAGGCAATAAAATACCCTACAACTACGAAATCGAAAAGGTTATACGTTGATGTTTAATTAGCTAAGTAAAGTTATGTTTCACACAATCTAACTTATAAAAAGTGTACATTAAAATGAAGCTTAAATATTTGTTTACTAAAGTAACTAGGTGACACAAATCTTTTGCTGATGCATTCAATGCTCTGAATGACTTTGGTAGTCATACATAATAATAATAGTCACTTACACGTCGTAGAAAGAAACCAAGTTCTTGACAATGTTTACTGGCTTCTTGAAATTTCTTAAATCCCAGGTTTTCAATGTATCGTCGCCTGCAAAATATTAGAGTTGGCAATTAACCCGATTTAATCAAAAACAGATAAAACGATACTGACGATCCTAGGGAAATTGCATTTCATTGAAAGGATATATTTTAAGGGGTAAGTAATGCTACATTTTGCTGGATAACCCAATAAGTATTGGATACCGCAAAATTTAAAGATGGCACGAAAAACATGGTTCCGTATGCAATGGTTCTTCTATTCAGTGCCATCTTCAAAGATAACCCAATACTTACAAAAGCTGTGCCATTGTCTCTAGGACAACAATTATCAATGGCTTCTACAAATGAACCGTGGTTTCTAGGACAACGGTAAGATCAACAAGCCAAAGTTTTGAAATCTTTAGAAATTTTACATTATTCTTGAATATCGCAGATTTGTCAGCCTTAAATAATTCGGCAAAACATAAGGCAGTTTCATTTTCAATTTGGTAGTTACACATTCCTTAACAGTGTTTCGATAAAAACTACATCATCCATATCATTGTTTCCAGACCCTGACTCTGCTATCCAAGCGTTCTTTAAGAAAATCATCAGATATGCTACTGGTATAAATTCAATTGAAAACCATGCACAAAATTTACCGCTACGAATGGGAGTGGTGCTAAGAGAGAAGCAAATATTAATGAGACAAGTTTGGTTCGCAGGAGAGCCAATCCAACCAAGTTTTACATCAAAACGCAACATTAAGCAGAAACGTATAACGCAACAACGTACCGTCTAACGCAAGCGATGCAAGTTCAGCAATAGAACAAGACTGAAAGATGCATAAGCCTGTTGACACCATATTTTGCGAGTTATATCCGTTGCGCTACGTCGATGTTTTGCAAATATGGAAACTTTCCAATGAACGGATTTATAGACATTTTGGTCCTTTTGTTACCATATTTTACACTTTGGCTGAGGTTTTTGACGAAGAAATAAGTTTCAAATACATGCTTATTCGCTATTTCGATGACGTCATAAAATCTATAATTTTCTATATTTTCAATATATGTATCTGTAAGAAGTATAATAGTGATTATTTATGTCATTTTTCTTTCAATTATGTGTTGCACACGATATAAAAAATTTTTGAAAACCTTGTCAAAAAATTTTAAGGACTACAGTCTTCAATTTCGTCTTCAATTTCGTCACATCCATTGATGTGCAAAAATGTTGTACGGTCTTAAAATAATCAGCGACAAGTATAGTGTAAGTTCCTGTTGTCAAAACAAAAGTTAGGCACTTTGCCAGGTTTTTGGGCTTCTTCCCTGTCTATTGGTACAATTACGCTATGATGAATTTTGTAAACAAAAACTGATCTGTATAACGCAAAAATATATTCAACAAGTATGCATCTTAATCAAAGATCCGACGACTTATTGCTTGCAATTTGAAAGTTTAAAGCTAATTGATGGGCCTAAACAGATACTCAAGTGACTTAGGCCATCTTTCAATCAGCAATTGGCCAATCAGTAAGCGTGATACCAAGCAGATGTTGATTGATTGGCCAACAGATAACTGACAGATTATCTGTCGATTGCCTTTACGTTGATAGCTGTGCTCCTGTAGTTGTGCACATCTAGCTGTACATATCTAGACGTGCGCATTTAGTTGTGTTAATGTAGTTGCCTTGCATCATAAATAAAGTTTATCCAACTTTTTAGCAGACTTGTCTATCCTTTGCTGATTGTGCAATGCTTTTACATGCTTCCTGCAGTTTCTTACGCTTACAATTAGGCCTATTATTGGCCTAAAACAAAAAGGTTACAGAACGAAATCGTTTCGGTAACATTTTTACCGAATGATACGTCAGGATTCTCGAAAATATGAGCTTTTTGCATGCCCTTACGTTGGCAACATATGCATTGTCGGGCGTTCAATTACGAGAATTATGTGTATACACCAATGTCCAGAATGTTTTGCAGAAGTTTGAAGAAAAACAAACGGGTCTAACTTTGGTCTCAACGGAATTTGAGACAAATAGTTGGCTTTGGGCTAGAGAGAGTTTTTTCTAAGGACATGATCGAGTCCAAAAAGTGCGGCGCTGCTATCGAGACCGAAATGTTTCCAAGATAAGTGTTTGTAAAGCAAAATAATGCATTAAAAAGGAAGAAACTTTCAATAAAGGTATCCGTATATGGCGAGATTGGAATAAGAGGCAAGGAAAGACGCTCAGACAAGGCAGGGAAAATAGCGTGAGTTTGTAAGCTCTAGAATAAAGAAAAATTGGTACGATTAATGGACGGAAGGACTGCGTTCCTGCGAAACAATAAAGTTCCGTTGTATATGAATTTACGTGCCAGTGTGATTCTGGCTACGTAGGACGCACTACCCAAAGATTGTAGGATAGAATAAAACAACATGTTCCGTCTCATATTAGATACAAAACCCATCCCCAAAGAGAACAGCCACCTCGGTCTTGCAAATCTAAAATTACAACTAAAACCTGCGATTCTGCCATCGGGCAGCATGTACTAGAAAACCCAGATTGTGCAAAAAACTATAATGGCGACATGTTTCGGATTATTGGTAAAGCCCGATCGTCGTTCCACCTAGCAGTTTTGGAATCTATCTACATAAGCACGAAAAAACTGCTACTGTGTAGACAAAAGGAGTTCGCTTTCACCTAAGGACTCCATTGGTAACATTCTCAATAGGCAAGCGGCACTGATTGGTCAACCTATACAGTCATGTGCTCGTGTTTCTGATTGGCCTATTTCGATCCTAAACTGGGTATATTTATTTCCTAGCGTAGAGTTTTCGATCCATGTTCTGACGTTCTAAACTCTGAAGAGTGTCAGACGAAAAGCTTTAGTTTACTAAATGTTTGCTTTTTTCAAAGCCATTTACAAGTTTTGTACCACCAAAAGATTTACAAGTTTGAATGGTTGTGTGTAGCCCTTGTATGTTTTGAGCAATTAGCTTGAAAATGGGTAGCAATTAGCTTGAATATGGCAAATAGCAGATCTTATGTTTGTTAACGGATCACTGTTATTTTGGTTCATATAGTTACGAACAGAGACAAAATTAAAGTGATTTGACGGGCAAAGAACCTTTATCGTGTGGTCATATCTCAGCCAATTTGTAGCTCATTAATACAAAAAGAAATATTTAATTAAGGTATAGTGCTAGTTCTATAGTCTCAAATATGATAAAACAGCTTAATCTAACCACTATTGGTTTCAATGTAGTCAAATGAGCTCATTCACTTTCCATATCAAATCATTGAAATTATGTCTTGGTTCATGGAGCTCAGAATATGGTCAAAATTAAAAAAAACTTAGATTTCACTGAAAGTTCCAGGATTCGTCTTTGGCTCTTGGAACCTGGTACATGAAGAAGAAACAACAGACAGGATTCAAGATAGAACAACATAGCAATTATAGTTTTTTGTTCCACTATTTCTTAATGATTGATGGATATTTTAAGGTGCACTTAAGAAGCGTTCTTCAGACTTAAAACAATGTGTCGCTGGCTTTATTTCAAACTTAGTAATAAGCGGTTTCAAACCTAATTTGAAAAATATAATTCCTGCAAAGTGGTTAACTGTCTTGTCACGTCTAGTCAATATCTTTTAGTTGGAGGCCATAATCCTTTTCGGCTGCATTGTGAATATGATGACAAATTAAAGAGAAAATTTGCAGCCTCTGACACCACAAGCATAAGCATTAAAAGACAAATAGCTCGCCTATCTGCGACGCCAGGGTAATGAAGAGTGGGCAGGATGGCGTACCGCAACATTTTGCAACGAGGTTCAAAGTCGATTTTTATGGTGAGTAGAATGCAAAATAGTAACCAGAGACCTAGGTTAGCAGAAATTTGATCGATTCATCAGCCGAAAAATCTAGATCCGCCAGTAAAGGCTGAAAATGGACAAATAGTTTGCTTAGAAGACATGAAAGGTTATAACTCTGGAGCTATAAGAGGCCTTTGATTGTCATTATCTTCGATCAAAAACCTTGTCAAAAATTTTTATCTCTGTAGTGTGAGCAAACTTTAAACTGCATCTTGGAAATTTCGAGGGTATTTCTAGAAGTTGATTGTCAGTAAACTCTAGTTGAATTAAATACGTATCTAAGTTGGAATTGGCAGGTATTTTGAATAGCAATTTAGTTAAATGAAAACCTTTCCTCGCCTCTGCTTGAACAGTTTCGCAAACTCTCAGCCATTCTAGAGCCTCTTTTCCTTGATTCAAGTTTGTATGGCGAAGAAATGTGTAATAATGCAAATGCCAAGCCAAATGAGGCGTTTAAGTATCCTTTCCATATTTAACATCAAAATTTTATGCTTACAGGTGACATGGGTTTAAAATAGGTCGGTTGAAAGGTAATAGCTTCTTCTGAATTCAATGATACTTACCTCCTCTTGACGCAAACTCATTGTTGTCATACGCGAAAGTGAGACAGGACGTGCTGGTGCCATTTGCGTGAGCCTCACGGTTACAAAATGTTGTATGTACCTTTGGAATATACAAAGAAGAAACGTTTTGAAGACAAAACAGGGCAAGCATTAAGAGCAAGCTACACGATTGCACACAAAATACACAGTTTCCCAAATAATTGTGGAAACGTCAACTTTAAAAAAATAGCTCATAGCAAATTTAAAATCTCTACTTCCAGAAATGTTTTATCACACAATATATATTCATCTTATGCAGGGCCCGAAACATCGATAACCCAACAACAGCAGAATCAGCAGTGCGATGAATTTAAATACGTAAACAATGATGATTCCGTAGCCAATAAGATCAGGTTAGGCAAAATAAAGTCGATCAGCTTGAGGCAGATGAAGAGGAATTGAGCTACACTTTTGGATTTCCAGCAAAGAAGACAGCGAGGACGTTTTTTTACTTTTTAAAATGTTGCTTACATTTCCATGACATCCAATAACCGCATCCAATGACATCATTAATTACGTCATCATCCAATAAAGGATGATGACATCATAAATGATGATAACGTGATATAAAAACGTTCAGATTTAAGTAAAAAAGTAATTCTATACATCCTTCAAAAGCACTGAATGTGAGCTATTCGAACTTGTTTATAACTGTGAATTTAAAGGCAGTCTGTCCCCTCAATGATTGACTAATATGAACAATTGGTCTTCTCGCCTTGATGGATTACGCTATTCGTTTGAACTGGCCTAGCTGCGGTAGTGGACGATATTGAATGATAAGAATGGAAGAATTTCCTTTCGCTGTTGACATATCTGTCGAAAAAAACCAAACAGGGAACCAAATTTTTCTAGCCATAGCTTCACTTCAAAGGGGAAAACAGCAATTTGATTCAAAAGCTTTTGAATCAAAGTTGTCTCTGATTGGTTTAAATCGTTTAATTATCGATCAAGCTCAACGGTGCGTGAAATTCACTCCCGTGAAAATAAAGTCAAGCACAATAGGGGACAGTCTGCCTTTAAGTAAAATTTAAATCCATTAATATTTCCTAGTACAATTTTAATTAAATTCCTAGTTATATACTTTTATATAATACAGCACGCAAGCTAGTACATGTAACTGGTTTTATAATAATAGTTGCGAGAAAATAATTTAGGCGGTTCCAAATGAATATTCTTTAAGTTGACAATGTCATATAGAAATTAACTTCCGTTCAAAATATGTTTGATTCCATCATAGATCTGCAATCAGCATAGTTAATTTAGTTAGTAAATGCAATTAAAGTTGAGGTTTAGCCCTTAGCTGATTTTTAAAGAATTTTTTTCAACTTTTGATGAATATGTGCTATGTGAATGTAATGTCATAAAAAACAAATAACCTCCGATAAAAAAACTACTCTGGTCCATCTTTGATTTGAAATCTTTAAATTCGATTTAGTCGAGGTATGAATAAGAATTTTAAGTTTGCCATTGAGCCAGTTATTTTAAGAAAAAACTCTGTCTATTGGATAAAACCTCCGAACTGTTGAAAACAATGTTACAATAATTAAAGTGCATTCCTTGAATGCAAGCATGAAATGCAAACGAAATATCAGAAATCTGATTGAATGAACTTGGGCTTATTTGTCTTGTATTCAAGAGAAAGATTAACATGACAGACTTACAAAGGGTTTTCGTGTGTCCCATGCTTGTATGGAACCATCCTGGAATTGAAAAAATAATTGCCATTCTTATCCATTATCAATATTAGTAAAGTAGATTAAAAAGTAGAAAGTTACCATTACTTTTCCAGAAATAAGCTTGTAAACAACGTTTCCTTTTTCCTGTTGTTAAATTGACAATGGATTCCTTGCTCCTTTCTAACCGACAGAAGAAGCATTTGAGTCGGCCAAAATACTGTTATGAAGGACATTTAGAAATTTTTTCTTGGAAAATCTAGAGGTTGCTAGCTATTCGTCCGTTGATTTGGCCTATTGTTCTTTCGCTTAGCGACTGCAATCTGAAACTGCTTACACGGTAAATTCTTAAGGGATTGGTATAGCGTATAGCGATCAAAATTGTAATGAACATTTTGAGAGATTGCTTACAATTAGGTTTTTCCATAACATAGTGTCCAAAATGAGTAATCCCTGGTTGTTCAAAAAAAGGGAACCAATTAAACTTGACATTTTCCCTCTCATGTTACTCTTGGTCTGTTCCTGGATATGTATTTTCGATTGTTTTATTCTTATTAATGATATTCTTATTTATTCTGAATTTTATGTGCCTCTCTTTGCAACAAAACAGCAAGGGTGCCTGGAATCACAGCGAGTAACAGGCATGTATGGAAAGCGTCTAAAGAGTCGTAAGAAAAGGTGTATATGCAAAGCTTGGCTGAGGATCACTTGTTGAGATGTGACTTATATTTATCTATGTATGAACATGAACATTTACCATTATGAAACATTATCCTTTCAGTGGTTCCTAGTTCTCTGACCGCGCACCACGTTTTTAGTTAGTTCGATTAGCAAGATGGCAGATATTGTTATGTTAACATTTGTTTATGTTGAATGCGTTATGTTACCAATAATCCAATGAGTTCTCTCTTAGTTTTACCTCCGTCATGAGTACAGATTTAACATCACTAAGCGTCAATAGAAGGGGTCTCTCTAAGTTACATACTGAGTAGAAAGACTAAGCTTTCGTGAATAGAACAGTGCGGTTCTAATTTCAAAACACAAAGCTTCGTATATATATACAAGAAAGACTATAAATAAACATGACATTTTTGGCTTCTACTTTCCAACATTTATTCATATCATGTTTGAAGAGACTATAGGTTAATTAAAAGGTCATTGGAGACTTGCAGTACAGAGGCATGAATGTTAAGGGGAGTCATTAGAAGAAGTAGCGATACAAAGCGTTAGAAGAAACGGAGTATGTACAGTTTATCTGACATTCCTTATCTATTCATTTTATTGAAAGTGTGAATAAGAGTTAAAATATGTTGCTCCAATTTTACTTTAGCTATTTGCGATCTATACATCAAACTAAAATACCAAGTCTATTGAAACAAATGAGAAGAACAGTGACCCCTAAGCAGGCCTGGTTGATCAGCATACCTGACATGCAGCAACTATTATCTTTCCATCATTGCTAAAAGTGCAAAATGTGGCCCCTGTCTTTCTTGCTAAGAAAAAGAAATAAACAAATTATCTTCTGGGGGTGTGAATTAGACATCAGTCTAAGTCAGAACTGCTACTACGTATATCTAGAGTCTCTTGGTTGGTTCCCTGATTCTTCCCTAATTCAGTGTTTAATCACTCTTTTTAATGGTCTTTTGCGTAACGATTTTGTATGGTCTTTTGAGTATCGATTTTGTAGTTAGCTTTGTAAAATCTTATATTTCTTGACCATCTAAGTCCTTACTGCTTTATATAAGGTTTCTTATACATTATAAAGCTCAAACATTCTTAAGCCCTCTCAACAATAGCTCAAACTTTATGCAATTCATGACTGAAATCTTTATTCGGTACTTAGCTTAGCTCATACGTAAGCAATGTCAGCAAACGTTTTGCTTCTTTGAAGAAACGCGAGATTTCTTTAAGTAAAAAATGGCAAATGATTCATGACACATGAAATGCTGAATGAAATGCTGTAACGTTTTGGTAAGTATATTTCTTTGGACAAGGTAACTGTAACTGCAAGCCTGTTGAAAGCTGGCCTGTTGGGTACCCAGGCTCTCTATTATTAGACGTGCTAAGAATATCACAGAGGTCCCCTGTGATTCAGCGTACAAACGAGGCGAGTATGATCTGTAGGCCTGAAAATCAACCAAAGCTTTACAAGTCTTCAATATCTTCTCTGTCCTACACAAAAACTGTTTCTTTTCAGTTCATGCTGACGTAGGAGAATATATTTTACATGTAAACGGATCACTAAGAAGCACAGAGCCCTAGGGAAAATTGGCTGCATGGGACATTGCATTGTAGTTCATTGTTAATCAGTTGAATCTCCTAATATAAATCCCTCTGATATTACCGGATAAAAGAATTCAGGAAACCACATGTGAACAGAAGGTGAATGTATGCACTAGTCAAGTCTTTGCGACAGATTCCAAGTTCAAAAAAACACTAACTGACCTAGGGAGCTAGAAATTGGCCTGCGGGAAATTGCGAGGAAGCAAGTGGCCAGGAAATGGGCTAATGGCCTCCATGAAATCAACCACCCTAAAGCTAAAACTCAACAATTCCCCTTAATAATTTCTAATTCCCGGTAATTTTCTTTTTGAAACCCATTTTAGGAAAAAAGCCTCCTCCTTGAACACAATCCACCGATTTACGTCATGCATTTCCTAAAAAAATATAACCATGTAATATTTCAATATTGATTTCGGCTTGTAAATATCGGTTAGAACAAGGGTTTAACAAAAATAACGCCAGTGGAATAAGGACAGAAAAATGGCGACTTTATGCAACGCACACAAATGTAAAATGCATATGTAGTAGTACAAAAAATTTAAAATTATAATTCTCCCTTTTACAAGTTTTTTTCAATAACGCCAGACCCTTTACAGGACCCTTGTTGATAGCAGAACCATTTTTACTGAAAAGGTTATATAAATATATTGTATCATAATTTATTAGTCAATCTTGCCTTCCCGTTTAGATCTTTTCACAATTTTGCACGAAGATAAAAATACCTTCTGGCCAGTGCAGGTTCAGAACGGGGTATTTAGAAATTAGCATTGGTAGACCACAGATTTTCATTTTTAACCCCTGAGAGAACAGAAAAAAAACTCTCATAGATTTTATGTGGCAAGTACGTTTATGACTTATGAGTCACGTTGTTTCTGTTGTGAAAAGATCTCCGATTGAACAGCAGTCAAGATTCCGAAGCAAAGCGACCCAAGATGCATTGCAAATGTTGTTTTGTCGACTTTTCCAATTATTTTCGAATTTCTTGGAATTTTTGAATCTCTGCTCAGTATCTTTTAGATAAAAGTAACGTTTTGTCTTCCAACAGCAGCCCCAAAAACTGAAGAATGATACAAATTAGCATCAAAAGTAATCGATGACAGTTTACTCTACAGTGTTCATTCATTTCTGCGCACAGTTGCCTAATATATTAAATTTTCATGTAGTAAGACACATACTTACAGTCATTATAACTAAGCCGATGTTGTCATTGTCTGGCAAAGCCAAGAATATCCTAATCCTAAGGACTTGACATCTTCACTTTTATCAAAATACAATCACAAACTAACGATGCCTTGTTCTAATCTCTTAATGTGACCACCAAAGAAGGCCATGTTTTCCGTCAATTTCAAAGCAATCTTTATCAATAAATTTTCCGAGACAATGAGTTACAATACGACGTTTTACCAGGCTTCTCGTTTTCTACCCTTAAACGTGCTCTTCCCTGAAAAGACCCTATGCTGGTTGTTTTCAATTTCGATGTATTGGGGGAGAGGATCTTAAGAAACAAAGTACCGATAAACTTCTCCTTCATAAATACAGCTGAAATGTGATTTGTTTCTTTGGTGTAAGATTTATCTATTTAGTTTCAAATGGTTTTCATAGAGGCTCTGAATCAACGGAGCCTTGACTGAACTCTGCTTGATTGTACTTGACAAAACTTTTTTTGTCGTGCAAAGCTTAATTATCGACATAACTGCGACAAAAAGCTATATTTATCGCTGCCTATGAAGAATATCTATGAATAATATCTCTGCCTATTAAAAATACAGCATATCCACTGTGCGTATCCTCTAAACGTTGTTTTGAATTATTCTTAAATTTATTCAATTTGCTTTCCGTACAACCAACATTAACAACTAGAACACTGTGCGTAAGAAATGAAAGCTCGTCGCCATAAGGGTGCAGGCGCCAAAATCAAGTGTGTCACCCGTGCGTCAGCGCCACTATAAAGACTATGGGTGTCAGAATTTCTTTACCTGCAACCATTTAACTAACAGCATAGAACAGATAACTATTTTGCAAAATTATTACATATAATTGTGTTCATCTAATACTTTAAATCCTGTAAAAGGGGATGTTTAGAGAGGATATAAGCCATTGGGCTGGGGAGGATGCTGTAGCACCCCAACGTTTGGATTTTTTTGAAAATCAACCCCTATCAGATAATAATCTTCCCTTAGTCCGGCAAAATTTTTTGTAAACAATGGAACTTTTGTAGGGCAGCCCTCCTAGATTTTTTCTTTCCGTAAGCGCCTACGCTTATGGCTTTAAGGCCGATTTCTATTTGACATTTTTTGTGCGCGCGGGCGTAGCGCCCAAATCTGAGCATGCGTAGCTAAGTGCTGCTGTCAAGTGGCCGAGCGTACAAAAAAGTTGAGACCCTATCAACTTTCTGGCGTTCACAGCGGACGCAAAATCGAGACCATTTGATTTTAACTATGCATGCTCAGAATTGGGCGCTACACCCGTGCGCACAAAAAATATCAAATGGAAATCGGCCTTTACAGGCGACCCTGGGTGGATTTCGGGAGGTGCACCACTATGGTGACGTGTGGAAAATAAAAAGCGGTCGGAAAAAATCACTTGTTTCAAGAGATATTGAATAACTTACAAGTTTTTCCTCAAAGTCTTCAACGTTTAATGGAGCTGCAGAAGCATTGCAGTTGTATTTATATCAAAAACAGAAGGCAACAAATAAAACAATATTTTACCCTGCCGCAAAATACAGTCTTAAAATGAACGGAACTCACTTTTAAAATTTTGCAACCAAACTTCAAAATATTTGCAAAAATGATCGCATGTAAACCAAACAACACTCGAAACTGCAACAATGTCGAAATGGCGTCAGCAAATCGTTTTTGCGCTTATTTTTGGCAAACCTCGACTTTTATCGCCTCTTCTTCAAACTTTAAAACGAAATGGTCAAAAATCAAGATTCGACTAGTTCACCAACTCATGGCGACAAGACTCTATTTTATGTATTTCAGGGTCCAGAATTGTTTTCATATTCTTTTACATTTTTACATTGTTTTCACATACACTGCAGAAATATGGACGAACTAATGCTTCTTTGATTTGATTTCAAAATCAGGTCACGTGACATCTGCACTCTTTTTTCTTCTTTACCAAAAACTGCCTATATTATAACGACCCATAGTAAAAAAACTTAGAAATCATTGTAGTGGGCGCTCTTGACCCTAAGATACTGCTCAAAATCCTTCTTTTAACGTTTCGACGAAGGAATGGATTTGAATCGTTTCAACGATTATATCCTATTTACTGTTTAATTGATATAGATATAAGAGAAAGTGGCGCTCCTTGTGGCTTAATGGGTGTTCTATTTCATGGTATCTCGTTAAACGTTTTTGTGTTTTTAAAAAGGAACCCTGCAGACAGTACAGTGAAGTCTTCTACAGTGAAACTTTTGCTGTGAAATAGAAAAAATCAAGAAACTGAGAGCTGCCCCGAGCTAAGTTTCTTACAAAAAAATTTGGGTATTTAAAATACCATCTCATTTCAACATTAGCATGAAACAAAGCCGGCTTAAGATAAGATGAATGAAATCTTTTTGTGGTATAGAATTCAAAAATGACTTTGAAAAACCAAAACATTTAAAAATATACTTAAGCTTTTCGTCTGACACTCTTTAGAGTATAGAATGTCAAAACATTGATCGAAAACTCTACGCTAGGAATTATATATGTACCCAGTTGTGGATCGTAAGGTGGGTATAAATACTCCGAAGGGTGTAGGACGGAAGCTTCAGAATGCTCTAAAATATTTTCTTTCTTCAAAGCCATTAACAAGATGTAAATTAAACATCACAGTTTTGAACTGTCGTGAGCTTAACAAATTTTTTCCGAGTTTAACCGGAACTTGCTTCGATAATAGTCCCTACAAATTGTCGCATTTTAAAACAGAAGGCTGAAATTTTCTAGGCAACGCCTTACCTTGTTTATTTTTAGTTTTAACAACCTTCTTGTTTCTTCTAACATCATTGACGTCCCAAAGTCGAACTGTGCTGCAAACAATAATCAATTTATTATGAATTAGAAAGATAACTATTTCAGAGGAAAGGGAAAATGAAAACTTTAAACACACTAATTTTGTTTATAAAAAAACAAAGGTCGATGTTGAGTACTCCAGTTTCTTTATGTTCTAGAATTTCAATACTCATTGTCTCTTGAGAGTTTCTTAATTATGATGTCATGAAATGTTCGTGACCTCTTTCTCATGTCAAGAGATTCGCTTCCGTTCTGATGCTGTATTTAGATGTGGGCAGTATATTTTTATCCGTTGTATCTTAAATTCTAGGCCAACAGGGCAGTCATGTTCTTGGATTTTAGAAAATTTCGTTGTTTTCAGTTTTATCACGATTTAATAGTTTCATAATTTTTTTGCTTCTAATACTGGAGTTTCACAATTTTTTTCTGACTGTCCAGTACTCGTTTCTTATAGCCAGTTTCTTATAAAAAAAATGAGTGTATGCTTTAAGAAATAAAAAAAACTCCATAAAACTTCTTAAAAAAACAACAGATCGTACTTGCTTGGTTTTAAGTCATGGCTAATTTTTTTTCTTAAAATGTTCACAGCTTATAAAAGTAAGCAACTCAGATTTTAGTGGGGAAAGCGATTTTTCAGAGAAATATGAATATATTTTGCAAGTCCCAGTTACATCTTTAGGCACTAGGAGGTATACATTCGGTGTAGAAACCAAGTTTTTCAATGCTGCAAGACGTTCTTAATCTGTTCTTAATTTGTTCTTAATTTGTTCTTAACTTTTCTCAACTTTTTTTTAACTTTTTCTTGACTAATTCTTAACTTGTTCTCAACTTGTTTGCATACGGTCCTTCAGATAAATGCTTTTTCTTCTCCCCAACAATAACTGATCATTTTTTGAAGCCCAATTGATCAAGTAAAGCAAAACTTCAACATTTTTCTGAATTGCAGTCCTCTCCAAAGCTCTTTAATGCTGGAAAGCTTAGAAGTCTGCCTGAACAAAAATAGTTGTGCAAAGGGTGGCAAAGATAACTGACCGTCACTGGCGGCTTTTTATCGAGATTTTTCCAGTAAGTAAAAAGCACGCCAGGATCAATAACAAATTTAAGGTATACATACCCATCATCAGAGCAAGTAATGAATTCACCAGGGCTCTTTGGATCCCAACAACCAGCATTTAGCATAGCAACATGACCCTGTTTAAATTAAGAAAATATATATAAATGACATGTAGTGAAAATATCATGAAGCTTTTTCGACCAATTCAGTTCAATGACTTTACATGGTAAACGCATATCGAACGGTGTTTACACATTTCACTAGACAATTATTCAATTAACCTTAAAACTCTTTTTTTCCTTCTTTATCTAAAGCTAGTACAATTTCTAGCTATGCATACTCAAGCTAATTAAAGCCAACTTATTTAAATTACCAACGCTAAATATAGTGTAAATCAAATATAACCGGTGTTGCTAACGTATTCTTTGCAAAGATTACAAGTACAATTAAACGATGTAAATTCTGAGATTTTTTTCTTGAATATTTGTAAAGTAGGGGAGTACTTTATCTCGTTTGGAACTGAGTTCCATGTTTGCCTACATCTGTATGACACGGTATTAAATCCGTGAATTTTGTAATGTGGCTCCGCTGTTTTGAATTTACAGTTTCTTAAGAGATATGGGCATTCATTTATGGAAAATATTTCATCCATAAAAGGTGGATTCAAACCTTTAAAGGTTTTGCAAATTTCTATCGCAAGATATTGTAAATTTTTCTTATGAGAAGTTATTGTTTTACTCTATATTAAAAGTTGTTCAAAAATTGAATAATAATCATCAAGAGCTATTCTCATTGCTATTTAATGAATCCGGTTTATCCGGTTATTACTTTTCCTACTGCAAAACATCCAAATAAGAGGACAATAATTAAAATATGATAATATGAACGTTTTCATTAAAAGAATTCGCTTAGATTCGTCCATATACGAAGCAATCATGGTTAGAGCGTTTTCTTTTTTCCCGGCTTCTTTACAAAAAACTTTAATATGTTCTTTTAATTCAAGTTGATGGTCTAGAGCTACTCCCAAAAGTTTAACATTCTTTCTTTCTATCATAGTAGAACCATTGATTTGAATTTTAGATTCCTCTAAATTGGATCGATTGGCTTTAAATGTTGTAAGCTTGCTTTTATCGCCATTTAGCACACAAAAAAATTCATAAGACCATTTATTAAGAATAGCTGCTTCCGATTCTAAGTCGCCAGTTAGATCATTCATATCAGTACTTGACAGCCAAATTGTATTGTCATCTGCATAGTTGCATAAGTTGCCTTTGTTCAAATGCAGAAAAATATCGTTTATCTAAATATTGAAAAGCAACGGGCCTAAGATTGATCCTGGAGGAACTCTTTGCTATGTTTGCATCCAATCACTAAAATCTGAGTTTATTTTTACTCGTTGTACTCTTTAATCTAGATAACTATACCTAAATTCCATTACGTTGTGGCTGAAGCCATAAGATTTCAATTTGCCTATTAGAATTATATGGGGTAAACAATTAAATGCTTTTGATAAATCCATAAGCACTACACCAGCCACTTCTTTTATATCCATGCATTTCTTCGGGCCTTCAATAAGTCGTAATAAAGCGTGTTGTCTGCTATAACCTTTTCTGAATCCACGAAGCGAAGGGAACAGTTAAACACTGGCATTATTCTCTCAAATATCTTTGAGGTTGAAGGGAGCACACTTATTGGTCAATAATTATCTTTACTGGTTGAATCTCCTTTTTTGAAAATAGGGCATACATCAGCAATTTTCATAAGAAAGGGAAATGTTTTATCAGAAAGAGATCGATTGAATATTTCAGGTAGTAGTCCAGAAACTTTTCTGGAAAGTATCATTTTACAAATTTTATTGTAAAGTTCCAATTATTTTGATATGGTTGGAATCGCCACATTCTTGTGCATCGAATGATGTATAGTTTAATCTCATTCCATTAATAGTTTTGCCTTTAGGGAGAGAAAACCAAATATCGTGTCAAACACGTTTACCGTAACCTAAACCAATAGGTATTTACAAGTGCGGGAGATTGTGCAATTTTTATTACTTCAGGCTTAATTTTAGAAAAAGTTTGCCAAGAAATTTCACTTACTGAGAGGCCTAACCATGAGACGGATCTCTTGCCATGAACCTAACCTCAAATCAAAAGCTTTCCCTTCTACTGGAATAATAATTTCAGGTGGCACCCAGCTTGAGACAGGGGTGTAGCGCTATAAAAATAACAAGGGGGGCTCATGCGTAAAATGTTGCGAAAAACAATAGAAAAAAAAACAGAAATTGGCTAAGCTTTGGCAGAAACACTTACGCATCAGCCCCATTTAGCCTCCCTAGCACTACACCTCTGACATGCACGGTGTTTCTTAACGATTTCGTCACTTGGCAGACACAAGTTTCAAGACCCGACATGTTTAGAATCAATTTTGTATCGTTTCAACAATAGCTGAACTGCGTCTCGGTTAATTGAATAAAATTCAAACCCTACTTGATATACATCAATGCAAAATTTAAAAAAAAAATGAATTAATAAAGCTAAGGAGTGCTGCTATCTTTAAACAAGATAGAAAAATATAAACGGCTGTCACATATGATAATACTTTTATAAAAGATCACTTTCTGTCATCTCATAGACCACAATTCACATTATCTTATGAAATTTCATTGAACGCACAAAAGACAAGTCTGTCGCCTGTGTGTTCTGTTTTATCTTATCCCGTCTAAGCATTGATATAGCACTAGACAGATGTCTGCCCTATTGTACTCTCGAAGAAAAATTCTTATGATAGCGTTAGGTCAGATCCTCAAACATAATACTGTCTCCATTCGACAACGAAAAGACTGGCCTTCAAGACGACAAAATAGCTTTCTATTGTGACTCATTATCTACACAGTTTGACTGTTCGACTGTTGGCATTTAAACCGAAAATAGCTCGACATCAACGCTCACACACAGTCGAAAGGTCTCCGAAATGCACTGGCTCAGACCAAAATAATTATTTCCTTGTTATGAACCAAGACCATCAACGCAGTCGCAGGTTTGCGATTCTCACCCGCAAAGACACAAAACAAGCTCGGTATCGTCTGAATAATAATTGCAATCTAGAACGTCAATGTACGAAAAATTAGAGGTCCAGGGATGTTGTCAGTTATAAGGAATGTTTATTGTCCAGAAATACTTTTACAAAGCCATGATTGTTCAAAAAGAAGAAATTTGCATTATTTAGAAAAACTTAACCTTGGAAAAAGTACACTTTTTCTTAATTTTTATTGATTTTGGTGCTTTTGGAAATCAAGTTGTAAAGAGCTACTTTTAAAAAACAGGAAGAGGTGAGGGATTGAAATTTGACCAGAAAGGTTAATCATAGTCTATGGGTTTATCTTCGTGATCAGATAAATTTTTATATCATCCCTAGAATAATGCTGCAAACTGCTCTGTATCGTATAAATTGCAAGAAGATTTTTGGTTCTTTAAATGATGTCACCTTAGAAATGCATTCGAAGAAGTGCTCTGTACAAACCGTATCAAAATTAATACTTGGCTTCCATACTTAACATGCTTTAGAAAATTAATCTTATATCAAAAAAGTTAAATAGAATATGCTTTATTAAGTAATAAGAAGTGAAAGACTGAGGAATTTAAACATTTTGTACCTTGGTATTTGTCATGTCAACAATGTATTGATCTCCCTTTTTGCATTCGTAGATCTGATGTCCGTCTCGATCAAGCACTTTAGCCTGAAAAAAGAAGGCAATATGTATACGCTGGAAGTGTAGCAATAAGAACGCATTCTTCTTCTCGGAAAAAACAAGCATAAGGGGGCACTGCAGAGCACATTAAAGAAGAAAATCAATTTTATCAGAAGGAGAAAGAGCCGATGATAATTTTTTTTATATAAGAATCGTTGGCTTTAACAGAACGTTAAGTTTCATATGAATAGGAGAAGACAAGAGATTCTGGCTCACATCGTAAAAAGATCCTGGCATATTAATATGAGGGCATGTGACAAATTCGTGCTCAGGAGGATACCCCCTTTTTCTTTAGTAAGACTTTTGCTTAAAAGTGTTTTGAAGATTAAGGTCAGGACATTTAGAGAAGACATAATCTTGGGTTGTCACCATTTTATAACAACAAGAACAGAATCGAACAATTTACAATAAACACAATCAGCGTATTCTAGCTTTAGCTAGACTCGAGCTATAACGAGTCTATATACAACAAAACAATCTCCGTGTTCAACTGTTCATCACAGCGTGAACAACTGACTAAGGCTCTGTTTTATGGAGAAAATGGCCTCGGCTACGTGATGTTATTTTTGGTGAGGCTACTGTTTATATGAGGTACTGTTTATATGAGAGAAAAATTGCCTAGGCTTGCCGGGGCTATTTCAATTTGGCGCCAAATTTGACGACTGATAACAGCTTTTGAAAATGCCTAGCGTGTTTCTTTTACTTTCTGTTGTATCCTAGTGTACCCAGCTCTTGTTAACTTATGTTCTTCTTTGATTTGTTTCACGTAAGTTGCTTTTTTATCAGCTGTCATTTCAGTAAAAGGCGTGAAAGGAGCTGTCTCTTCCGGAAGCCCAAAGAATCCAGGATATATTTTCGCCATTTCCTTGCGAATATGTGTATTTTCGAATACGTGTATTTTCGCCATCGAAATCAGTGTTTTGTATGCACATTTGTTTTTTATAATCCAGCAAAATGTCAATGAGTTCCTTTATCACTTCGGTGCTCCATCGAAAAGGCCTTTTTTCGATTGTCCTGGAGCATGATTTTGTTTTTTCTTCCGCCCATCTGGTTTGGGACATGCACGAGAATAATGATTTGCGCTTGTGCAGTATTTGCGTTGTGCAGGGGGCGGGGCGGGGCGGGGCGGGGGGGGGCCATGGCCCCCTCACTCTTTTTGCAAAACAATAGAGCTTTTTTCAAAACCTTTTGTTGTGATTGCCATATCTTCTCTTAGCCCCTCCACTTTCCAACCTGCGTCGAAGCCCATGGTATCTGCAATTTTGTGTCGGTGAAGTGAGGCTATTTTTGTTTGCGTTTATATGAGAAAAAATAGCCTCACCAAGCCGATATATCGGCTCGCTCAGGTGAGAATCAGCAGTCAAAAATAACCTCACCTGGGTGATACTATTTGCGACACTAATAAAAACGTAAACTAAAAATTACATTCTTTTGCATAGGATGCCGATATCTCAGCTTGGAAAATAACCTCAGGCAGCCGAGGCTATTTTCTCCATATAAACAGAGCCTAATAATCAGACTTCAATGTCTAGGCGTGAATGCAAGGATCAACCGGATGCTTCTCCTTCACAACATTAAGAATATTCTGACTCAGAATTATCTATTTTTATTATAAGAATATTAAACAGCCTCAGCTCGCACATTTGTGTCTCATTTCATAACAGTTGCCTGTCTTGCGATGTTCATAAAAAAGAATCGCATGACTGGACATAGTATCTTGTTTTCCTCCAAAAAGCGTGGTTTCTAATCGAAGGTGGAGGCGGGCAATTTTCTTTGTAAACCATATCAGATTGGAAAAAAATAAAAATACTCAAAGAATATATTCAGGCCAAAAACGAAGATTAATTTGAAAAATCAAGGCTTGAAAAATCATGCAGTGCTTTTACAAAAAAACACTGTATCAATTAATGATCATACATTGATGATCATAACTAATGAAAAAAAACTCTTTCACACTAAAATGTATCTTGTTTCTGCAAACCCTGCTGCTTATTGTTCCACCATACGATGCAAGTTGAATCAGCTGTATGTATTTATAGTATTAAGAATCATTATTAATATGCAATTAAAAGAGACCTGAGAATTTCCAGCTGCTATTAATACCATATCCCCAGCTGCGCTGTATCTTATAGTCCTAATTCCATGACTTTCCATAGGAGTCAAGCTTCGAAACGGCTTCAAGTGAACATCCATCGTATTGAAGTCCCAAAATTTCATCTACGAAAACATTCTTAATACTTACAAAAACGTTAATAAAATAAATACCGCTTAGAGTTAGAAATGGAACAGCTAAACAAAGCGTAAAATACAATAAACAAAAGAAAGGATGAATCTAATGTTTATAAATATGCCAATCAAAGGCGCGATGGCCGTTGGGTAGGGGGTTCTGAAAATCCCAATTCTCTGCCCCTTTAACAAAGTTCCCACTGCATAAAATGTAGTATCTCTACCCCTTTAATCTGCCCTTTTTGATAATTGCATGCAAAGAAAATGGTGCGAGCAATTGCTACGAGGGCAAATCACCCCAAGAAAATCTCGTACACCTTTCGTGAAAATTCTATTGTTTTAAATGAAAATCCTCAGAAATCCTTTTGTTTTAGGGAAAATCTCGTACGCTATTCGCAAGAGTGAATTGCCCCTCGAATGGCTATACGGTTCTTACAATTAAAATACCTTGCTCTTAATTAATAATATTTTGGCTAAAGGCATTTTGTCGGATACGTGGATCTTAAGACCACCTTCTTTATAAAACCAACAACGGTGTATGGTTGTAGAGTAGACAATAGCGTCACTAGACAATAGTCACTGTTTTTATTTGGCTTGGGCCGAATTTTTTGCGTCGCCTTATTTTAGTGATAAGAGCGAATTGATGATTTTATTTTAGTATTTTTAGCGGAAAATTCAATCCATGTCGTCTAAGCTTTAGAAAAGCATTTTTCTCTCGCTAATGAAGCTGTCATTTGCTAAATTAAGATTGCACTAAATCTGTTCCCCTTTGATATAAACAATTTTCAACTAACGCAAAACATTTCGGCCTAAGGTAAATGCTTATATCGAATTATTTACCATTCTGCAGTAGTACTAGTCTACGAAAGCCAAATGTATATCTTCCGCGAAAACTACAAAATCAAAAGTTACTCTGGTTACTAATTTCTTTTATAGTCATGTCTCAACTATAAAATCAATCATGGAATAAAAATATTTGAAACGGCGAAGTAAAAAATGACCTCGTAATCATATCCAGCAGTAACGAGACGGGAACCAGATGGATCAAGTGTCATTGCAGAGATCTGTGAAGAAGAGAGAGAATCGACGCTTAAAAAATAAACTGATTTGAGGAAATATAGAATTTGAAAATCATTGAATAATACAGAATTTTTTTAGCTACAACATTTTCATGTTGAATAACGTTTTTGTATAAACTGTCTAAAAAACTAATCAAAGTTCTCTGAAATAAAATATTCCTCTTTTAATCACTGTATCTAAAACAAGGAGACCCTAATCTAATTACAACCAACTTTGATGCTCAATTTACTAAAGAAAGGTAAAGGTCCCGAAGAAGTGAAAAAATACAAACATGCAAGTTATACTTGCAGAATTACTGTTTAGGGTCTGAAGATGGTATGAAATGGCGGGAATATTGCATATTGATGTACTTTTTCCCCGACACTCTCGGAGTATTACGCTGGTAACCAGGGTATTAGAGTTTAAACCTCGAAAAATGACCAAGGGTGAGGAGGAAATTTATATCCAGATGGGGATCAAGTGCAATGTGGGAAGAAGAAAGACGCGTTTTATTGTTTCCTGGCTTCAAAACACACCAATTTCTCCTGACTTAAAAGCCAAAAATGTTTATTCGACATATTTAAGTATTAAACATATTTGAAGCAATAAATAATAAAATAAAACAGTAATTAAGTAGGATATCAGTGTAAATTATCGGTGATTCTAACAAAATACCTCGCTCTTTGATAAAGTTGGGAACAAAAATTATGACATCAAGTGATTTCAAATAGGACAATCCCTCAATGGATGTAAACATTTATATCTGATAAAATGCGACAGTTTTTATTCTAAGACTATTGGAGACTCTTAGTATTACTCAAATCTTTATGTTCCAACTAAAACTTTCCCGTCACGAATATGTTCTTAACATTTCTTACAAGCTAAAAATAATAAGCGTATTTTGATCCTCTTCAGACTTGTTACTTATATACTGCCCTTTGAAAAAATATGCCACTCTAAATAGGAGATTTGACTGGCATCGAGAGGTTTCATATTTGCAGGGTGATTAAGCCAAATAACCAGTAGAACTTCGCAACGCACCTGGAATCTATTTAAAAAATAATTGAACCTTGATTTTGTTTACAGCTACAAAGGCACCTGATCATAAACAACAAATTTCACCATAATGACCACCATGTAAGACACTCCGCAGGTCTATTACCCGGACTACTGACAATGCCGAACAGCTATGCCATTCTTTATCAGAATCACTAGCCTTAATCATAACCGTTCTATTTCTTAATCCACTTAACGGCATTACAGAATACTCTGTTTAATATCGTCCGTATTTTAGATTCAGCACATGACCTGGAAAACTGAACCGCAAACTTTGGAAAGACAGTGGTTTGCATGCTTGCACGCTTGAATAAAATATGACCAAACAAAATCAATTAAAGTCTAATTTGCAGAATGAATAAGTTTTGTTTTGGAAGCCTTTAATCCGAGAAAATAACAAACGAATCTCTATACCTGAAGAACTGTCAAAGTAAGGTTCAATAAGAAAGGATGAATGTTTATCAATACAATTTTGAATCAACTTCATGAGTTTCGCCATGAAGAGTCAGGTTGAGAGGAGTATACAGGTGACCATTTAAAACGCACATCAATTCTGATGTCCTCACAAAGGCGGCTCATAGCCGCGCGGTCATTTAAGTTCGGCTAAGCTTCAATACACTCTTTTTCTTTTATAAGAACAATTTTATAAAAACACGATCCTCAAAACAGGTCAAAAGTTAAGAACAAATTAAGAACAAGCTGAGGCTGAGCTTCTGCAAAATGCGATTTTGAACAACGTTTTTTCTCAAAATCGAGGATTTTTAGCGATGTGTGGGTGCTTTTTCGGTGAATATTCAAATTTGTCAGCAAATTAAGGCTGTCTTACTCACTTTGTTGGCAAGTGAGGCCTGAACACCTCCTTAGCGCGAAAAAGCTAGCAATAGCACTGCTTACACCCTCTTAATTTAATAACAAATTGAGAACAATCCAGCCTCAGATTTTCGAAAAAATTAAGAACAGTCAGCCTGAACTTAAATTTACTGGTTCTTATAAAAAAAGAGTGTGCATGGACTTGACAAATCCTGTGTGCTGAACGTTACACAGAGGTTTAGCTAATGAGGGTGTACGGGTGTGGCACCCCTAATTGTTCATGAATTAGTTGAAAATCTTAATCGATTCACAAATCATAAGCTGATCGGTAAAACGCTTAAGGTTGGGTGAAATAGCGGTGAATTCCTTTTCACCTTTGTCATCGTGGGTAAAGCACAATCTTCTCGCTATCCACCTTTCAAAGCAGGAGGATCAAGCACGTGGCTGAACATGAAGGAGACTTCCATAAAGGACTACAACCCCGAACAAAATTTTTGAGACAATGCAATTTGTGCAACTTCTACTTTACCTTGCCCCTGTAAATTCAAATCTCCTCTTTCCCCTAATCAATGTTGGACTTGTAGTTTTATAATTTCTACTTCAAACCCGTGCATGCAAAATTGAATTTGGGGAGGGGGGAAGTAATATTTCAAAGGAAAGCGAAAATATAGACTTTTCTTGAAAAGTCTCAACTATTTTTGTCCGGGATTGTAGCTCCAATTGAGTAATAAATTTCATGAAAACTGGTAAACAAGACATGCGTACTCGAAAAGGAGTATATCAAATTAGAATGAAAAATAAATATGAATGAAAAATATTTTGAAATTCAGATAAGATCGGGAGAGAAATATCAAAATATTGCAAAATATTTTCATCTGGTGCTTACAAATTCAAAATGTAAGAAGGCTTCTTGAAAGTGAAATATTTTTATCTTAACCAATTTTTATCTTTATCTTGCATTTGAAGTTTACACTGTTTTAGGCAAACAATAATTGCTAAAAATCAGCTTCAGACCTTTTGTATCATCTGTTTATCATCAATAGGAATGGATAAAAAAATATTTTCATCATTCACTAATTTGCCTATCGTTAATAGCTTCATAACTTTGTATTAGTTCAGGCCACAAATTACTTTCTTTTAGCAACTACGGGTACAAAAAAGTTGCATATTTATTGACATGTAAACAAGAAACAAAGAGAATATAGCAACACTGAATTGTGACTTTTAACTTCCGGTTCAAATCATCATCATAAAAAAACAAACATGACACAAGAGCAAAGTTTATAATGTCATAAAAAACAGACATGACACGAGAGCAAAGTTTAATGAAAATAACTACTTTCAGTTTATCATGAGGAAAAAAGATAATAAATTATTATGTGGTTGCGTACAGCTTCTTAATCGAGCCATCAAATTGCTTAACACTTAGCCCAGCCAGGGTTGCTTATTAAATAATGTATTTAATTAGATTGTCAATCAATAATCCAAAAATCATCATTAATTTTGCCAAAAGTCTGACTCACCATTTTATTACCATGCTCCAACGTTATCTCATGGGACGAAGGAATTTTTATGACCAGGTCCTAATGATAGTAAAAATAATTGGATTGTATATTATTCTTCATAAAATGTTTCTCATTGTTCAGTCAATTTAAGACTTTTCATTCATTTTCTGCGCCCGCTTTCAGATCTTTATATGGTATTTTTATGGTATACACACTTTTTTATAAGAATACCTGACATTTGCTGAGCCTCGACATTCTCAAGGTTTTTTTATTATAAGACTATGATTATTCTTGTAATATTCTCAAGTGACAGAAGGTGTAAATTCGGCTGAAGATCAGAAAAACAATTAAAATCTTTGTTGATGCATTACGTCATCACAAAAAAGACAAGAATAGAAAAGAAAATTCTCAGTGCCAAGGACAGACAACGGACACTACCCGAAGAGCAACTGAGTCGAATTTTAATTTAAATGACTCCAAGGCCGGATGCGTCTATTTCAAAACACATAAGCGTGGAACTCGCATTCGTTTTGCTTTCAAAAGAAACTCAAATAAACAAAAAAAATTAATTCTTGAGCTTTGCATTTTTCTTAAATTATTCTTAATTCTAAACGATTTTGAGCCTTAATATTGCTATGGACTATATGCCTATAAAAACGTGTGTATGAGGAAAAAATACATTTTGAAGTACAGATGACAACGTAAACTTGGGGGTTTGGGTTGATGAAGGTGATATTGCTTTTAAGCATATATAAGGGTACAAGCTTCTGTCATTTGACTAGGCCATGCCATCGATGTTCCCTTCTTTCAGCACTTGCCAAAGCATAAAGGCTGAATCTCAACTACACAGCAAAAAGACATTAGCCAAATAACAAGAACGCAACTGATTTGCTTTGCTGTAGCCAATTACTTTCGATTTCCTGTGAGTAACAACTCTAATTGGCTTCAGAATATCCTTACTTTTTAGATCACAAATCATTTTGGGAATGCTTTCAGAAAATCACCATATTTTTCAAAATATTTGGAAAAAAAGACCCAAGATATTTTGAAGGATTTGACTGCTTAGATCCAATCCTTTTCAACCAGTTTTAACTATTGCCAAAAAAGAACCAATAGTGCGGCCATTTTCTAGTTCTCCCTTGTTTTCATCGTTCTCCTTTGACTTGATTTACTTGTTCTCCCTCAACCTTTCAGTATTATTTTCACCGATTCTTCAATAAAGTGCTTCATTTGAGTCAAGTCTTCACTTTCACTCAAATTATCTAAGCATACTTTCATGCATGCTGTTGCAATACAGAACTTCAAAAGCATAGCAAAACTTACGTCGTCGTCGTCGGATTCATCATCATCATCATCATGATCATCAATGTCATCAGTTCTTTCTTTACTGTTCCAAGTGTTACTTCTTGATATCATTGAATCCTATTGAAGCGTAAACAGAAACAAGATGATAAAACTATTGATACAAAACAACGGCTCTGGTGACAAAAACCAATTCCAAGAACCTCGAAGTGCACAATTTGGTTTCTATTTACAGAAAATTTTAAAAGAAAAAATTAGCTGACAACTGCTATTTGGCAGTTGATTAAAAGAGTTAAAATTTTAAATTACATTGTGTGATTGTTTCTGAGTTGGTGGTTGAGGTACTGGCATCGGGCCAATGATTTCTCCTTCACTTTCTGATTCTTCATCAGTGCTATCTACATGCAAAAAAGAAATCAGCCATTAGTTTTCTGCATACTACTGACTGAAATATCATGAGCTAATTTTTGAAGCAGAAAATAACTTCCTTATCATTCCGATATACGTCAGCAACTGATTCTTTTCTACCAAAATTGGCAAACCACCTTATCGATATGGCGAATGAGATAAAGCCACGCTGTAATAGTTAGGGCGAATAACAGAGCCAAACAAACAAAGCCAAAGGGTTACATGCAACGAAGTAGGAGTTTCTTATCATACCCTGAAGAGTGTCAGTCAAAAACTTTAAGCATGTTTGAAAATGCTAGCTTTTTGAAAATCCATATTAAAAAATTTTGGTCTTTCTTGGTATGTAAATTTAAAATTGCGGATCCTAGGATTTTTTACAAAGTTTTTGAAATTTCATTCAAGGATATTTTCATTCTTTCCATGAATTTACAAAGAATGATTCTAAGTTGAAATTTTCAGATAGAATGGCGGTCTGCCCGAACGCAACGACAGACTTACGGATAAGCAAATGAGCAAATATAGCATTATAGATAAAAGAATAGATACAGCATAGGACAAATGTAAGCATAAACAATTGCAAATTAGTATCTAACCGGATGTTTAGAAAACTTGATATGAGTAACAATTAACAATCACTAACAATTAACAATCAACATTTACACCAATACTTGCGAGTCTCAAAACAATACTTGCGAAAAAATAAAAGTAGCAAGGGTTTTACTAACCTTTTTCAGTCAGTCCCTCGTCTCTTTCGGCTTTTGTCTTCTCTTTTTCGAGCCTTTTAGCCGACCGCAGGCCATCTTCAAACTCTCTCTGTTTAGTATCTACTTTACCTAAAACAAATGAACATACATGTCTAGAAAGATGCCATGTATACACTAAAATCTAAATCTATTTTGAATGTAGCAGCCAATATAATATTACTTTAAACATCAACATAATATTGTATAAATTTAATAACATGTATTTTGAGCATCAAAATTATGAGCATAAAAAACAAATAAATTTGCAAAAATCCAGCTCATGAGGAACAATTTAAACGTTGGCTTTTTGAAGGAACCTTCTTTGCTAACATAACACAAACAAAAGATTCATAAGCGCTATCAGAATGTAAAGACAATGCAAGATTTATTAGATAATACAAATTGCACATGCCTGTCTAGTAATATCTTAGATCAGAGCTCATCAATTTTTAAATATTATTTTTAAAATATTTTGAAGTCTTATCAAAAAGAACTCTAGAAATGGAGATCTCTGCAAATTGTTTATTTTGTTGTTCTCTAGCTTCTGAAAGTAGTTTTATGGACAATGAGAAGCGCACTTATCAAGCAGTGTGCTGTTCCTTGCTCTCAGAGGCACCAAACCTCTTGATTCCAAAGCCTATTGCAAAGTGAAAAAGCATGTGGCTCTCCTAACACTAAAAGAAAGTTTGGCTATGCCAGTGACTCAAATCACAGACTTTTTGACCAAAACCACTGTGCATTTTTGCACAAAACTAGCTTCAACAACAAAACAGACATTTGGAACTTAGTAGGATTCGTTGAGTGACCATGCCTCATTAACTCATACCCTTTACTTACCAAAGCCAGCAAATCCCATCATCCTTTGCATCATTTCTTCTTCATTTATATTTGCACTTGCTGCTTTTGAATCTTTTAAATTTCCTGTTGAAAAATGCAAAGGTTTGAAAAATCATCATTTGTTGACATTGTTTGTTTTATTGTTGTTTTCACCTTATGTGTAAGCTAGTCATAATACTCTAACTTATTGCATGCTCTGATTATACCTTATGCTATAAATACTATTCAACCTCTTCAATTTTCATTCATTATGTGAACCTTGTTCAAGCTTACAGCAACTCAGTAGATATTGTTAGCCTAAAATAACAGTAAACATTATTTAGTTCCCTATTGTATTTTAGGATAGGTTTAGATAAAGTAGAAAATAAACATTTTTTATATACTAACATTAACTTTAATGTACCCAAAATATTGATACAAGTATTTAAGTAAATTATCATTAATTTTGCTCTTAGCAACAAACAGAATTGACAGAGAAAATCCCAACATAACTACCTGGATCCAATTTGAAACAAAGGGAAAATCTTATTAAAATCATTAAAATAACAATTTTTACCAAACAAATTTAGCTGAATTTACAATAGATACAAAATAAATTAAAAAGTGTTAAAAATTGTACAATCTTTTGAATGCAACTCCAAAAATAATTATTGATAATGAAACATACTCACTTTTTTGAGTAATATCCTCATCTGGTTGATGCAAACTTCTTTGAAAGGCATCGGATGCTTGGTACCTAGATGCACCTGGAAGAAACATGTGAAAATTTATGAAGCAGGTCAAAACACACTAGTTCAAGGAATAACATGCACAATAACCTTTTTTACAACTGTAACTTTTTTATCACCTTTAAAGGGGATCGGATGTGCATGCATCAGCACATGCATGGCATCAATAATGCGATTGACTGATCATATGCATGAGTTGAATATTTGATTGTTGTTTTTGACCTTTATAAAATTGTTCTCTTCAACAAAATATTGTTTTATTTTTGTTAATTTCAACATAAGTTTTGTCTTTTATAAGCTGAGCAACATCACCCCCAATTATGATGTGTTTATCAAGTTGCTGAAATAGTTTGGTTTAAAGGAGGCTTATTCCTTTGCTTTGTACAGATTACCTTGAAACATGGCAATCATTAGGTAGTGTTCAAAACTTCTGCCTTCTGTTTTTGCTGTGATGAAGGTAAATACCAATAAAATTACTCAAAGGAAGATGGTTTATTTTATCAATGATGCAGCAAGAGATTAATAACCCCAAAAAAAGATCCATTGTCAATCAAGATTTTTATCAATCCAGAAGCCAATCTGATTCAGAACAATAGAAGAAATCACCATATTCAGTTTTAAAATCTTTTCTCTCAAAATGTAACACTGGGACAAAAATAAACAACCATAATAAATTTCCCACAATATCAATAGGTCCCCGACAAACAACAGTTTAGCTTTACAGGGGGTTTTTTCACTCCCTCTGACCCCCTTTTATCTAACTATTGTATCAATCAATAGTTCTCTGTAGTTGTCTTTCAATGTCATATGATTGAAACAAACACAGCAGAAACACTCAAGCACTTAGGCTCTCTGTAAATCGAAAATTTAGCTTCACAGACTATGACATAGCTATACTGTATGTCAACAATAAATTTTACAACCAGGCCCTGTCTGGAAAGGCACTCAATCAAATGGCGCGCCTAGAACGCAACCAAAATAGTCTTGGAGAGCAATTTATAGAGCCCCTTAAAACGTAAAAACAATATTACCACGGAGCAAAATAATTTTTGACATTTCTTGAATTAACATGATCATGCATTTTAAACAATCTTCCTAACTGACAGCAATATTATGTTTGCGTAAGATTACCTCTTGAGAAATCTTACCTTTTGTGGAAGTATTATTTTCTGTTTTTCTTAATAACTTAAAATCACCTGGTGCAAATTAGCGATCAAATCCATTCAAATTGTCACACTGCTTCTAAAAAGATGCTGTTATTCAAATTTTAATTCAACTTTACCAGCTAAAGGCTAAACACAGAGGCTACTGACTCCTTTTGGTAACTGAATAACAGTTATCTGAATAAAGATGCAAATTATATTTACAACCATCCAAATTGTTTTGTAAATATTCAAAAAGTTTCAGCAAGGCTTTATCAGGAGTAAGTTCTCTTTCTGACCCACTTACATGGTGGATGCCCTGTCAATTCCAGTCTGGATGGTTGGTTAGGTCTACCTCCAAACAATATCCATAAGCTTTGAAAACTTTCCCAAGAAAAACATTCTGCATTTCCATAGTCTGAATATTCTTTAAGTTAAGATTAGAATCAAACTAGTTTGAATTAATTCACCTCGACAAGAATATTCAAACAATAGGATGATGACGCGAATGGATTATTCTTTGAAAAATTTTTCATCGGAAAACAAAGAAGAATATTCAAAGAATAAATTCTTTCGCTTAAAATAGTATTATTCTTGTTGAATATTTTTTTCGTGTAACCGGGCCATAACTGGTTAAAAATGTTCTGTTCTTTATACAGCAATGTTGCTAAGGCGGTTTCGGGGTTAAATGTAACTGCATAGGCCTATGCACGTGTGAAGTTGCACAATCCGAACATTGCTTAAATTAGGGTGTAATATTTTTCATAAAGTTGAGATGGGATGGTTCTTTTAAGTGTGGCGTTGTATATACATGTATTCCAGTGTTCTCAATCTTCTTCAGTGCACATAGTAGTGGATGTGAGGATTTGTGACAAGTGTTTTTTTCCAAATAAACGTTTCGAATTTAATGCTGTTTACTGAAGAAAATAGCGAATAATCCCAAAAAATCAATGTATTTTACCTCTTAATGCCCGCATTTCTTCTAAATCATCCTCATCCATATCTATTAACTGAATTAACGCTGCTAAACTGCCGAAATCGAATTAGAATCGTGTTTTTCGGTGCGCCATTTTGGATTCAATCTAATGAGCCTCTTTTCGATGTGGTATTCGCGGAACTGAGAGTAGTACCGTGCTGTGACCAGTGAGTACCGTGTCATTAACTTGGAGGAGTAACAACTTATTAATTAATCTTGCCGAGCTGCAGCCATTGGAAAACAATCCTTTGCTGGCATTTCTTAATTGATTTTCATGCCATTCAAGGTACTCCATGCTCAGCTCATATTATTTACAACTTTTTGCTGGTACTTTGCAGCAGCAGATCTTGAAAGGGGCTTGAATCTTTCTTAAACTGGTATTTGATCAATTAATATTTCGTAGCCCAAGTTTTCATTACGAAATCAAGGTGGCTCTAATTTTAATTCATAGCCTTCTACCGACCGTTGGCTCTTTGATAAAAATCTAAAATCTCTAAATATAACTTACATAAACTTTTCAAAGCTATCAAGTCGTCAAAAATTCTACCAAGCAAAATACGACATCGTCTACCAACCAATTAGCGTAGCTAAAAGACATTATTGTGTCCGAGAAGCTATTGAGCATCAATGAAATCTCAAAGCAGATATTGTAATTGGAATGACACAATTTAGTTTCTCCTAGGAGGGTGGGCTACTAATTTGGGTGTAAAATTTTAGCAAAATTCTTTTTTTAGTTCAATCAATTATGCAATTACTTTTTGGGTCTTGAATAAAGAAAAGTTTTAAGAAAAGGAAAAGGCAATCTTGCTTGTGCATTGAAAATTTATATTTGGGTCAATTTTAATGCACGTTTAGGGTGATGGTAAATGTATATATGAGTACCACCCTGGCATCCTATTTTTTGCAGGCTTACCATCCTGTTGCAAAGTTTCGCACATCGAGGAAAAAGGGGTCTATTTCTTGATGTGTTTCCTCTTTTCTTACGTAGCTGTCAAAAGTGTTTGTCGGAGTAGTATAAATTTTGGCCAATGAATTAATGGAAAGACATTTTCATGACTTGAAAAAGATGGGCGTGGTGGATGCAAAACGTGGTCAGAACGCAATAAATTTTGCCTGATTTGGGGGGGGGGCTGCGGCCCTCCCAACCTTTATGTCCCCTACGGTTAGACATTTGACCCCTGTGAATCCTTGAGTGAATCCTTGAGGACAATGACACTGGAGAAAGGTATTTGGAGGATCTATTTTAGGCCCAATGCTGCAACCGCTGAGTGTATACGTGTAACTTTTGGAAAATGCTTCTGATAACGAAGCTCCGTCAACCAAAAGTTCTTTTGATGAAATGGGGACTCCGTGGACCACGAGTCTTATTGCTTTTTGCTACTTTCTGTATTGTTGTCATCGTAATTCGCACTTTTATTCGTGGACATTTTCCAATCTATTTGTTCAAAGATGCTGATGCAGAAGCAGCAAACGGTCATGGCAAGTTATATTGCAACAAACCGGGCAATGTAGTTGGTAAGGAGGGACATTTGTCATTTTTTAAAGGTGGTAAAAGAAATTATCAGCTACAACAAGTTTATATTGTCATAAGACACGGAGATCGAGCGCCCATTATGCTGAACACTTTCCCTAACAGCCGACCGGTTGAAGTACCCTGCAAGTTTAATAAGTCCTGGACATTTTATGATGACCTTGTACAAATCAAAAAAGGGGCGTTTAATTTTCGAGTTTCTGGACATAAGACGCACCCAATATTGCAAGAAAGAGACACTTGTCTGGGAGGACAGCTCACACCAATAGGTTTTGCCCAGCACTTAAACAATGGGAAGTTTCTCAAAAGACAATACAGTGATTTTCTTGGTAGCATAAATGACCCATCGATGATTTTATCAATGAGCACTGCTTACAGTAGAACTGTGCAAAGTGCTGCGTCATTGCTTTTTGGTATTTTTGGAGACAGATTTAAAGACCGTAAAATGGAAATACAAGTTCAAGATGATAAATATAGAGAAACACATTTTTTAAAAGATGGTCAAGGTGACAATATATATTGTCCAGCTTTAGCTCAAAAGTTAAAAGATATCTGGAAAGTTGATGAGTTGCATGATTTAAGGATAAAGATTGATCCTATACGTAAAAAGTATGCAGAAATCTTTGACAGTCACAGAGGAGAAATACCAGCTCTAGATAGGATTGTTGACATTTTGTATGTTACTATGTGTCATGGTCAACTTTTTCCAAAGGCACCTAAAGGTGATATTTCTTACAAGCTAGCAAAGACTTCTTTTGAGTTAGCTGACCACCTGATATCATTGAAGCATCAACAAACTGCTGAGCTTCAAACATTGGCTATACTGTCTCAAATAGTCCATAAAACAGCAAAACGCATCAAGAGTCTCAGTGAAAAAGATTCAAATTGGCATAAACTTGTAATATTTTCTGCTCATGACACTGTAATTGCTCCTCTATTACAAATGCTGGGTGCTCATAACTGGAAGTGGCCCCCTTACGCTTCAAGGGTAGTATTTGAAGTGTGGAAGGACTCAGATAACAAACCTGAGGAAGCCAAAGACTTGGATCAGTTCCTTGTCTTTAGGAGTTACTTTATCAGGGTGTTATATAATGGAAATGATGTAACCAGCATGGTGAAATTTTGCAGTGGACAAGTGATAGAAAACCAATTTTGCCCTTTTAGTGCATTTGTGAAATATGTTGCTGATGGACAATTTGAGGGGGATAATTATTTTGAGAGAATCACAAATTTATGTGTTGGAACCGATCTTTAGCCATTTGATTCTAATAGCTTCATCTAGGGATTTTTAGGGGTGTTTGTTAATGATTTTGTGAGAATCAAATCTCCAAAGAAGAGTTACTATATTTGCTTTTGTGCGAAAAGCATTTTGCATCATTGGACACAAAGAATGAAGTGTCACAATCAGTTGGAGAAATCACATATTTCAATTGTTGAATCAAAGATTCCCAAACATTATAGACTGACAGATAAGATAATTGTATGTCGATCATTTTGTTTACTTCTTGTTTACATGAAGCATTTATTTCGCATTCAATCCTAATTTTGTAGAACATTAGTGCAAGTGCCTGTTTTATATACAGTCACTTGTTCAAAAAAAATGCTATTCTGGCTGGTAGAAGCTCCTTTTTAAATTGACTTGTAGCTTTCAGGGCTGACTATTGTAACAATGGTAATATTTTCAGTAACAGATTCCCTGAAACAAGCATATGAAACCATGAACCAACATTCTATAATGTCTTTGAAGTTGATTAGATGTTCGTTATGTTTGTGTTTTGCAAGAGTTGTAATATTTCCATTTCCTAGAAGTTGCAAAAGTATAAAAAGATTCAAAAACAACATTCAAGAACATTGATCAACTAGCAATGAATCCTGTTGACAAATCATTTTTGCTTGGGAATTTCCATATTTTTACCTTCTTATCACTTTGCTATACCTACAGACAGAAATATTTATTTCTACATAATTAACAGTAGCACTTCTGATGGAGCTGTTCTCAAGTAATGCTGAGATTCTATCTGGGAGCTGGTTGTTTAACCCCCCCCCCTCTTCCCCATGTTGATTTAATATGTGTATATACCTTACAATTTGTTTATTTCACCACAAGTTATTTCACCACAATTTGTTTATTTCACCACATTCAATTGATATTTAATCATTATATATAACATTGGTATTTTCCTGTATTGGTTAGTGTTTTATCCACATAAAGCTCAAAATAGGTTGCCTGGTGATTAAATTATTTGTGAAACTCAGAGTTGTAACTTAGAACTGTCCTGTTCTATGCTCTGCCTGTACAGCATAAAGCACAATGTCATGTCATATTTTGGTTAAAAAAATAATTTAAAAACTTCTATGCTACACATTTTAAGGCCAGAAATTGGGACAGTTTCATGGCCCCAATGGTCCTTCCATAATATGTTTTTGGAATACAATAAAAACAAGCAGGAATCTGCAATGGCTAAAAAAAGTAACAATTGTTGATTACAGTCAGTCATCTTTGGCAAGAAGAAGGCAGTTAATTGTAAAAGATTACCTGGTTTCAAAAGACATTAATTGAAAGGTTGCATATCATGGTTCTGTTCAGTGGGCTTCATTTTAGAATTTAACTTTTTGAGCTTCTCAACAACGTGACAATTCACCTTGGCCAGTATTTTTGTTGCCATTGTTTTTCAGTAAATTTTTTCATTGAAGGTGCAATGTAAATTTTATATCAACTTGATCAACAATCAGTTTGTTCACTTTTTTGTTGCATGACAAATAATGCTTTCCTTTTTATGCTCGTCAAAGTAAACAATTAGCTTCTTTTTCAAGGAACCCATTGCACAGTTGAAGTATCTGTTTAGGCTTTCTTCTGTTGTTTGTACACTTTTATCAGTACTATACATGTGTCATCTACGTATAATCAGAGGTTGTTATCAACTGCTAGTGGCATGTTGTTCAGATATAGGAGAAATATCAATGGACCAAGTATAGACCCCTGTGGAACTCTGTATGAGCTATAGATTGGACACGTGTAGAAAACCAGTGTGAATCTTAATTATTTTACCATGGACCAACAAAACCCAGGGTCCTGTCCTGTTTTAAGCACGTGAGAATCAAGGGGACCAAGAAAAATGTTTTTAAAAGCGTAAGAATGTTAGACGAATATACTAGATTGGATTTTATAATGGATGTCGATAGGAGGAAACGAAAAATATTTGGAAAAATCTGATTAAGTAACATTATTTCACAGATCATCACTTCTCCACAATTTTTGAATGGCGTACTTTCCTGAAATTGTTTCTACTCGTTGCGCCTAGAAAAGGGGAACAGTGTCTAGTATACTTATTTCTATTTAGCTTTGAGTTGCAAGCAAATGCTTTGAGTTTCGGAACCCTGAATTATGTGTCTGTCGCCAAACTAGATACAGTGAAATTCATAAGTAAGTGTAACAAAAGAATTCAAGGCAAACATACTTGAGACTGTTGCTTAAAGAGGGCCCCCGTCAAATATGGAATTATAGAAAAGGCAGCTTTTGATGCGGTTAACCTGAGAATATGTGTGAAATTATATCCTCGTAATCATTTCTTGGAATATGGATCCAACTTATTCTAGCCTTTTTATGAATGTCTTTACTAGAAGATTCTTTGCTACCTCCATTCTAGAAAGAATATGAAAGAACATCTAAAAATGGCAAGGAATCATTTTCTTCCTTTTCAAACGTAAACTGGAGGGCTGGGTGTAGGCTAATAAGGGGTTTTAGAAAAATATCACACCCAGCCTCTGTTTTGAAGATGGTATATGTGTCATCCACCTACCGAAAATAAACATCTGGCTTTTGGTCGTAGTCGAACAAACGCTCTTCATGAAAGCCAACAAAGATACTGGCCAAGGCGGGTCCCAGAGGGAATATATTTCGATCCACAACTGGGTATATATTTTTCATCGTGTTCTTTCGGACCCTTATTCTGACGTTTTACGCTCTGAGGAGTGTCAGACGAAAAAGCTTTTAGCCAAAATTTAGTAAAATGTTTGCTTTTTTCAAAGCCATTACCATATCTCTTTTACAATGCATAAAACAATTACACCTAGCTACCTAAAAACTATGTGAAAGTGTAACAGAGACGATGTCCTTTATCAATAAACTCAATTTTTGGCATAACATTGATAAGGAATCTTGAATGATTTTTTCAAATAGTTGGTTTTACGTTTACACTATGAGTATAATACTTAAGTATGCTATGTGTTTCCGCATTTCCATGCTATTTTCAAATTTTGTGGTGCCAAAGGCTTAAAGGGTGTTTCCACGAAAAACTTTTTAATCTTGCCTCAAAGCTCCGGTTTTGTTACGCACTCCGAGACCCGAGTTTGCTCTCATTTGTTCCGGATGATGCATACACAAAGATCGGGTATGGAAATAGCCCAAAAGTCATTCATTGGGAGCTGTCTATTTTCCATACTGCGTGACCTAATGACGTAATTATTTTACCCTAAACCTAACCCTAAAACTAACCCTAACCCTTTACTTGAAATAATCAATCATGCCAATTTATGACTTTAATTATGCTTATTTATGACTATCAGGTCGAACAGTATGGAAACTAAAAAGCACGAGCTAGCCTCATATCCAGGCAAAGCCTCGGCTGCTGGTAGCATATCATTTAGAAAAAATAATTACTATTATTGAATTAGCCTTTTATTCTGCCAGGTTTGAAAATAGCACAGAAAAACGGAAAAGTTACTTATTAAAGCACTTGTGTGTACTTTCGTAGTTCTTTGAGAAGAACTGCGCTGTACCTGCATTTTTTCGAGATATCAGGTGGCGGAGATAGCAAACGACCTGTTGAAAATTCATTTGAGATAGTGAATGGTTAATTTATCGAGTATTCGAGATAGTGGCTGTCAACCGTATCGATATATTTGGTATCAAAGGATTCTTAAAGCCGATCTTTTACATTTTCCCCCTTGTAAAATGCTATTTATCCCAAAGAATAGCATAAAAATATCTGACCGATTTTGGAATGAGATATTTACTACAAATCAGAGAATTCATTAAACACTTTTGCTAAAAAAAATACTTTATCATGTTACGTTCGGGACAGGTTTAATATTTTTAGGTCTCGAAGACTTTGAAAATGCCTAAGGTTGTAGGGACTGGGGAGAAGCAAAATATTCCTCTCGCAAAAGACTTAACTACATTACAATGGCCTAAATGCTATAAAAATGACATTTTCAATCATTACATGGCATATTTTACTCCTTCATTTTCTTTTGGCCATTAGATTTTGGGCAAGATTACAAAATTTGGCATTGACCGTCAAGCCTTGGCTTTTTCCGAACATGAAAAAAAATTATATTTTCGGGGGTGCCTAGGAAAAGGGGGGGTGGTGATGAGTTAGGAGTGCAGTACCCTGGGTACCAGACTTACTATGTGAAAAAAATTACGATTGAGTCTGGTACCTAGGATAAGAGTGCGGTTGCTCCCGTGACATGCGCAATAGTCGATAATCGAACTTTTTCTACTCCATGGCCTACCAACATGACCCCTGATATGTACACTCGTGCTCAATAAGACGTTTACACAGTGATTTATCCTTGATCCAGTCTTATGCTTATGTTCATAACAGGGTTGGATCCAGACTATAGCAACTGTAGCTCGAGCCATTATCAGTTCTTCAAATTATGTGTGCGTGGGCTCCGAGACACAGATTGGAAAGTGAGATTTAACACCCATAACAAAAGATTTTGAAAAAGCTCTATTGTTTTGCAAAAAGTGGAGGGCAAAAAGTGGTGTGTAAAGTTGAAGTTACTGTTTTCTTTGAAGCGCAGTTTGAAATTTTTTTAGGCCTAGAACCATGTCTAGTCCCAGGCCTAGAACCATGTTTTAGGCCTAGAACTGATGCTGGTCATTCTTCTTCTGCTGACGTGGTCCTTGCCTCTAGTTATCTAACGAGTTTTGCAAGCAAACTTGCAATAGAGTTCTTAGATATGACGTCATAAAAATCAAATTTTATAATTTTTTAAAATTGATCACATAGCCTAAAGGAACACTGTATAGTACTTCTTTTTAGGCAGAGTCAGTTAAGTTTGTCGAAAATCAGATGAGATATTGCCAATAAAAGATTTGAAGTTTGCTCGGATACTGTTTTTGGCTCTATTCATTAACAAACTTTAATGATTTGACGGGGAAGGACCCTGTGCTCATGACTCATGAGGCCATATCTCAGCCAGTTCCTAACAAATTTGACTGATTTTGCACATTTAGCGGTACTTCATGTTGCTCTTTCAGGTCATGGGATCCAAATTCAAAAATACTGAAAATAGATTTTTGTGACGCCATCACTTATGTACTTTTACGAGGGTCTACCTAGTAAATCCAAAGGTAGGAGACCAGTTTGAAGGCTTTCGTTTTGACATGCCTAATGAAATGGAGCCTCGATGTACTTATAAACTGTGTTGTTATAGAAAAGAGTGTATTGTTACTATGTCTTAAATAAGAGATCCAGGAAGACGGTGACGCATTGCCTGCCAGACAGATGGCGCCTTGCGAACGAATATGATTCGAGACGAACGTAAATTCGTCTAATCCTCTGGAAATTCGTTCAACTCGAGACTTTCAGTCTGCACGTGACTTATTGCGAGTGAAATGTGGTCGCCTTTTCTGTCTGAGCTTACACCAAGACAGACATGTCGACGTAAAAGGATGTTGCATAAAGTGGCCGCCTTGTGTTTAGTATCGTTTCGTTTTTATCATTTCCTCGTAACAACCATAGTATCACATTTCCTTTCCATCCTGATGCAGTTCAATCAAGAAAGGATATCAAGCCCCTCTACATAACGGTAAATCAAAAAACAGTTTCAAAGCTGACTCAGTGCTCTAATCTTTTATATTACTCAGAGACTCTAAGCAGTTGCAAATATGGTCTGAGTCGCCTTGTCTAAAATATGAAAACCGCAATCTCCAGTTCGAGCCTGTTTTAATGAGCAGCCAGACCTAAGTTCATCAGATTCTAAGGATCTGTTTTAGCAGGGCTCTAGCCCCGCACTTTTTGCTGAAGTATGATATTGAAGTTGTGGCACCACCCAAAATTAAGAAACTGTTAAATTTCCATTTTAAAAAAGAGTTCAAAAGTTTTTATCTGGATTTTTTGTTTTTGGAAAAGACAGCATACTTTCGATTTTGACCTGCAGGGCTCTTTTTCGT